AGGGCTGCACCCCCTTGTCTCCCATGGCTGGGTGGGTCTAGGGGGAGCCCAGAAGATCTGCAGCCCCCTCTTCCCCGTAGATGGGTGTGTCCAGAGGGGACCCCATCAAGGCTGCTGCCCCCTGACTCCAAGGCAGGCCAGGGAGAGCATGGGGCCAGCAGCAAGGTGACACACTGGGAAAATCAGCCTTGCCATGGGCAAGCAGTGCACAGGGAAAGCTTCCAGGTTAAAAAAAAAAAAAAATTAAAGATTAAAACGGGTTTAAACTCAAAGCTGGTGTCCCTTGTCTTGGGCAGGAAGGGTGGAAACCTGCTGCTGGTTCCCCTTTCGGCTGAGCCTCCCACCTGCAGCTCTGTCAGGATGAGTCAGCTGGAACCTTTCAGGCTGAAACTTCCCACCAGGAAAGAAATATCCCCGTTTCACTGTTTTTCTCTGTGAAACTCTGCCAGGTACAGGAGGATGTGCTGCCTGGAAGGCACACACAGCTCATCCATCACCTGCAGTACCACACCTGGGAACGGGGCCCACAGCAGAGAGAGATGTGGGAATTTTTGAGCTGCTCTTGTTCCACCTGCCTTCCAAAGCAAGGCCTGTGCTGGCTTTCCTGAGTTAGAATCATGGAATCCCAGAATGTCTGGGTTGGAAGGGACCTTAAAGCTCATCTTGTTCCACCCCCTGCCATGGGCAGGGACATGTCCCACTAGACCAGGTTGCTCCAAGCCCCGTCCAACCTGTCCTTGAACACTTCCAGGGATGCCACAGCTCCTCTGGGCAACCTGTGGCAGGGCCTCACCACCCTCACAGGGCAGAGCTTCTTCCCAATATCTGATCTAAACCTCCCTCGCCAGCCCTGAATGCAAATCCAGAGGCAAACAGGTCTGGTCAAACCGGGGCCGTGGGCAGGCAGGTGCACGTTCCCCATCAGCAGGTGTTGCAATGAGGTGCCACAAGCCAGCCCCACGCTGCTCTTCCCATGCCACAGGGGCAGGAGAACATGAGAAATGACCAACAGATCCAGCTGGATTCACGCTCAAGAGCTTTTTCCTTCCGCTCCCGTTTTTTTCCCATTCCCAGTGGGCCCTGGGGCTGCAGGGGCAGTGGTTTGTCCTGAAGATGATAGGAGAGATGGTCCCCAGAGCCTCCACTTTGATGTCCACGGGGCTGGGCAAGCTGCCTGAGGGGTCTGGAGCTCCTGGGGGCTGGAAGGGATCGGCATGGGGTCAATGCAGAGCACACACCAGGGTGGAGCAGCCACCCAAATACTTCTTGCCAGAGGGACCCAGCACAGCAAACGTGGCACGCGTGAGGGTTTCCTGGGCTGGAAGGAGAATCCTACAGTGGCAGGGCGTGCAGGATCAGGCCCGAGCAGCCGTGCTGGGAAAGGCGACTGTGCAGCGGGAGCCGAACGTGCGATGGCAGCATCGAGCCGCGGGCGCGCAGGCAGGACGGCACTGCGGCTCAGCGGGGCTCGCCTTTGTTTTGTGCGAAAAAAATAGCAAAGTTTAGGCTTAGGTCATTCCAAACTTCTCCCTGCACCAGCTGGAAGATGGGGAGGTTCCCTGCAGCTGTTTTTTTCCTGTGGAGTCTTTTCTCTTTTTTTCCCCCTTCGTTTATGCTTCGCTGATGGTTCCACAGCGCTTTTTTTTTTTTTTTCTTTTTCCTGATTTTTTTTTTGGCTATTTAATGGCCCTGCTTCCCCAGGAGGCCGAGATGAGGGGTGTCACTCCCAGCGGGAGCAGACCCCAGGAACGCAGGAGCTGCTCTCAGCTCCCTGTGCCGCAGCCGGACCTTCCCTCGCCTCAGAACAAAGCGCCCCATTGTGCAGGGAAAATGGGAAGGAAAGCGTGACGGAGCAGCCCGAGCCGTGCCGGGAGGGTGGGTGTTCCTGCGGGAACGGGGCACCCACGGCCTCGCACAGGGGTCACCCACTGCCTGCGCAGGCGCCCGCGGATGCTGACCCTGATTTTGGGTGGCTCTGTGCCAACCCCAAGCCCGGCCGCGGATCCATCCCAAGCCGCTGGAGTCCAGCAGTCCTGGATTTTTCCCACGTGCCCCGTTTTTTTTGTGGCCTGTCACACGTGACACGTGGGTGACCGGAGGTTTCCTCCCTGCCAGTGCCATCCTCAAAGGCAGCTGCTTGCTTGGAAAAGGGGGCTCCAAAAATAGGCTGGCGGGCTCCGTGTCTGGCACGGCTCCGTGGATCCCTAGAAACGCACTTCCCTCCTCTGGGAAAACGAGGGAAAAATAAAATCAGGATGCCTCTGCTAACAGCCGGTCCTAAAAAAAATGAGTCAGGAATTCGCACCGTGCTGATACAGCCCCGCACTCCTGAGCTCCCGAGGGGGATTCTGCACATCCGTGTGGGATCGGGACACGGAGCATCCCCATCTCCCACCCGTGTGTGGGCGGTTGCTTTGCTGGGCGACAGGGGAGAGACTTTTCGGGGCTGTCGCTTGGATTAGCGAGGCACCGGCGAGGAGGAGGAGGGTGAGGGGGGATAAAGGTCCTGGCACTCGCCGGGCTCGCAACAAAACAAAGCACCAGATGGTTCCAACTTCGGCATAATACGCGGTGAAAAAGTGTTTGAAGCGGGGATGGAAAAGCAAATGTGGAAAGAGAGGGAGAAAGGAAAGAAAGGAAAAACCCCTCAGCAAGTGTCAGGGCAGAAGAAAGCGTCGGAGAAAAATGGCAAATGTTAAGAACCGAGACAAAAAAGCCCTCGGGCGGCACAAAGCCTGGGGCTGCTGACATCTGTCCGGCAAAGCCCCTTCCCTTTGGAGTCACCTTTCCTCGCCTCTGTCACCGCAGGGACACGGCCACGGCCCCGGACAGGGCTTTGCTGGGTGCTGGGGCACATGGGGCTCTGTCATGTCCCACCGTGTCCCTGTGCTGGCCCTGGGGCAGCAGCAGTGACGTGCCCGGTGACGTGCAGCAGAGCTGGCCCTAAATATTTTATTACACTGTTACCTCACACGTGGCGTCCCCTGTGCCCTTGTCACAGCCGGTGGGGCCGCTTGCCAAACCCACCCGGGGCTCTGCTGCAGGATCTCGTGGGGTTTTAAGCCCGGATTCCGATCGGAGCAAGGCTTATGCAACCCCTGTGTGAGGCTTTTGTGTTCTCCTCGCTCCTCCTCCCCCCACACCCCCGAAATACCTTGAACCTGCAGGCCGGAGTAGCCCCAAAAAAGGGGAAGAAGGCTTAAAAGTTCTCTCACCCCTGGCATTTTCACACACACACACCAAAAAAAAAAAAAAAAGCAGCGAAATCAGCTCATGCAATTGCTCGAGAGCGGATTGCAGTGTGGGTGTAACCCCTCATGAGCCATCAGAGAATCCACAAGCCACAAGCCTTGGGGACTGCCGGCTCCCTGCGGCTCGGCTGGCGCTGAGCAGGAGCGTGGGCGGCCGACGGCTCCAGCTTCCAACCGGGACTGCCGAGCTTTAAATAAGGCTTGCAGTTTTTGCTGGTGCCTGTGGGTCGTGTGTCAGTGCCCCGGGCCCCCCGCGGGATGGTTCGTGGGGCAGAGGGTGGTCCCTGGATTTGTGAGGCCCCAAAGTGAGTGGGGGGAGCTCCCTTGGGTGCTGGGGTGATGGCAGGGCTGGGTGCCGTGATACTGGGGGTTTTGGGGCAGCGTGGAGCTGCGGGGCCATGTCCCCAGGGGCGCAGGACAGAGTGGAGCCGGGGTGATGTCCCCTCCGGGGTGTGGGATGGTGGGATATGAGGTGATGCCACCCTGGGGGACAGGACAGCGTGGAGAAGGGCTGATGCTTCCCTGGGGTACAGGATGGTGGGAACCAAGGTGATGCCACCCGGGGGGGCAGCAGAGCAGGGAGCTGGGGTGACGTCCCTCCGGGGTGAGGGGTGATGGGAACCAAGGTGATGCCACCCTGGGGGACATGACATTGGGGAGCCATGGTGATATCACCTTGGGGTGCAGGACAGCAGGGAGCTGGGGTGATGCCACCCTGGGGTGTGGGATGATGGGAACTGAGATGATGCCACCTGGGGGTGAGGCAGGAGCCAGGGTGATGCCACTCAGGGGTGCATGACAGCAGGGAGCTGGGGTGATGCCATACAGGCGCAGGACAGCGGTGACACGCGGGTGCCCCAGCGGTGCGGGACAGCCCCGCAAACCCCACAAGCCGTCCCCCGCGGCGGGGGGCGGTCCCGGGCGGTGCCGCACAAAGGCCGCCGGTCCCCCCGCCCCGGGGCCGCCCCGCACCCCCGGGGGCCGCCCCCGAGCCTCGGCCCAATAAACGCGGCCGCATTTGAACGCGGCGCCTCCCCCGGCCCCGCAACGCTCCGAGCGCTCCCGCCGCGCCCGCGGGCACCGCAGCCGGTGAGGCCGGGACGGGAGCGGGGCGGGGGATGCGGGGATGCCGGGGAAGGGAAGGGGTACCGGTACCACGGAGCCCCGGGGTGCGCGGGGGAGGGAGCTCTGGCCGCCCCGGTCCCTCCTCCGCGGGCGGTGCCGGGGCTCAGCCCGCCCCTTCCCGTCCCTTCCCGGCGGGGCCGGCCGCGTGTGCGGGACGCCGGGACGGGGCGGCGGGGAAGGGGCGCAGCGGCGAGGTGGGTGCGTGGGGAAGGGGCCCTGGAGGGAGGGGGATGCTGGAGGAAGGGGGGGAATGTTGGTTGCTGGAGGAACGAGACGCTGGAGAGGAGGGGGGGATGCTGCAGGAAGGGGGATGCTGGAAGCGGGGACATGCTGCGGGAAGGGGGTGATGGGGACAGGGTCTTGTAGCCAGAGGGTGCCGGGGGGGGGCCGGTTTCAGGGGTGTCTGCGTGTGGGTGCCACAGCAAAGCCCCCAGGGTCCCCTTTGCGCTGCTGGCAGTGGTCCAGAGGGGTGAGCGGCACCGGGTGCCCTCGCCCTCCTGCCAAGGACACCCCATCCCGGCGCGCGTCCCCGTCCCCGGAGCGATGCTCCAAAGGCTGGGAGCGGGTTCTGGACCAATCTGCCCGGGCTGGGTGGAGGAAGCAGCCGGCTGTGGCTGGAGGAATTCATAACAGCAGTTGTTTTGTCATCGGCAAAGCCCTCGCTGTCACCAGGGTGGCAGACGGCATCTGCTGTCTGGTCACCAACCGTGGGCCCCTCATCCTTGGCGCATCCCTGCAAGGATGGAGCCGGGGCGGTGAGCCTGGGAAGCCCGAATCCACAGCCTGGGAGGTTCCAGCGCTGGGTGCACCGCGATTCTGCCGCGTGAGTGGGTGACAGCTCGGGTGGGTGACAGTCTGGGTGCATCCTGCCCATCTTCCCCGTGTGCTCCCCAAAACGGAGCTGGCGGGAGGCGGTGGGCGCGTTATCGCCGTGATTCAGCACTGCCCGGGTTTATCGGAGCCGGTGCGCGTCTGAGCTCCTCGGGAATTGCCGGATCCTTCATTTCCCGGCGCGCGAGGCGTCGCTGGATAAATTACCGGCTCGCTTTGTTTACTTCTGAACTAATCAGCTTTGTGCCTCCACCTTGGGCTTTATCGCACCCGGGGCTCCCCGAGTTGCTGCAGAGCGACTCCAGCCCGATTTGCAAAATCAAACCAGATGGGCGCTTTGTTTTTCCTTACGGAGGGAAGGCTGGGAGTGAAAAGCCCTATTACAATGCAAATACCGGGCTGGCGTGAATATTCAAACCGCTGCGCTGCTTTTGAAGCTCTTTACATACATTTGTAGTGCTTTTTTTATATACGCCATCGCTGCTCTGCTAATCTGGAGTGGAGCTTGGTTAACAGAATCTCTGCTCTCTGCCAGCTTCGGAGGGTTTGGGGGCGTTTTGGGGTGCACGGGGAGAGGTGGCATTGAGGTGCAAAGTGGAAATTATGAGCGTGGTCAATGGGGGGAGGATCCGCCAGCTGTAAGGCTGACTCTGGTGGTGACCCTTGAAGAGCCGGGCGTGCTGTCAAGTGATTTACTGATATTTGGGTGCTTCATTGTCCTTTTGGGTTTTGTTTTTCCCTTTCCCTTTGGTTTCTCGGTGTGACCCTTTGTGGAGCTGCTGCTCCCAAGAGGGGACAGGGTGGGCCGAGCTGGGAAATTGCCCCAACACGGTGGGAGGGCTTGGGGTTCTGTGCAGAGACAGGGCAGTGACAGAGATCTTCTCTCCAGACCTGAGGGAACAGCTGGAGTTGTGTCAGGAGAGGTTTAGGTTAAATATCAGCACAAGGCTCTTCCCCCAGAGGGTGGTTGGCACTGAACAGGCTCCCCAGGGCAGTGGGCACGGCCCCAAGGCTGCCAGAGCTCCAGGAGGGTTTGGACAATGCTCTGAGGGACAGGGTGGGATTGTTGGGGTGTCCTGGGCAGGGCCAGGAGTTGGACTGGATGATCCTTGTGGGTCCCTTCCAACTTGGGTCATTCTGTGACTCGTCAGAGCCGCTTCACTGCAGCTGCGATGGATGAAGTGGTTCATTAGGGGAAGGAGATAATGAGTTTGAGACAATCTCAGCTCTGGTTTTCCAACAAGGGCTCATGGATCTGGTTTTAGTGGCTGCTGGGCATCCTGTATAAACCTCACCATGACAGACTGGGGTCCTGGTGGCTTTTCCCAGCTGTGTTCACACTGTCCCTGTTGTCACAAGCACAGCAGGAAGGGAAAGTTGCTTTAAACTGCCCACACATGGCCCTGCTCTCCAGCACAGGGTGGACACTACAGAGCAGTGACATCCCAGGGAGCAGGTGCTTGTGTTTTGGAGGTGGCCACACGATGCTGCTGGGTAATTACTGCTAATTACCAGGCCCTGTTTGAGTCCAGGTGACCAAGAGTAGCAGCAAAATCAGCGTTCTCCTTGCTGTCCCTTGAAAGCAGTGACTTGATTGAGGCCACTGCCCTTCCACAGAGGGCTGGCTGGGGTCAGGGCAGGGTACCCATAGCCCTAGTTGGTGTTGCAGCCTGAGGGGGCATCTGGGCACCAGCCAGGTGAAAGGTGTCCCTACCCATGGCAGGGGGGTTGGAATGAGGTGGTCTTGAAGGTCCTTCCCAACTCAAACCGTTCTGGGATTCTGTGATTCATATGGGTTTTCACTCCTAAAAAGGTAATTCTGCTAATTGTAGTGTTTTCACTTGCTGATGCCGTTGATTGACCAGGTAATTTGTGTCTTTATTAGCTCCAGGCTAAAGCTGGGGGGTTGGTATTGATTCCAGGCACTTAATATGCGAAGCAGTAATTACTGTTTAAGCCTATATTGTTTGAGTTAAATTTAGCTGAGAATTTAGTCCTATCAGGCCTCTACATTGTGTGCTCTGAAGGTTATCTGGCACTCAGGAGGTGGGGGGATTTAGGGGAAGGAAAGAAATGCCGGTGAAAACTTCCTCTTCTCATCATCCCCGAGCGCGCTTTGCTTCCCCGGGCTTGTTGTAGGGAGAACACAAATAAGGAATAACGTGGCTGTGACTCTCCTAAACCTGCACCTTTCATCGCTGCCTGCTCAAGCTGGTCACTTTTGGGGGGGCTTGAAACGCCACAGAAGGCCGGCAATAAATCTGAACAAAGTGATGCCCCGTGCGGGGACCGGGGGAGCCCCCGCTCAGCTGCCGCCCGCCCGCCCGCCCCTATTATCCCGGCCGCCCTCCTGCATCTCAGCTGCTGGCCCATCTGGAGCGGAGATGAAAGGCTGGGCTTTAATTCGGGCTTTGTGTGCCTCTGGTGTGTGTGTGTGTGAGTGTCCCCCTCCCCTCTCGGCCCTTTCTCCGCTGCCAGTCCCCCCCGGCGCACGGGTGCGGAAGGTGGCTCTGATGCCGCTGACCTCATTATTGTGACTGCCGGGTGATGCCAGGCAGCTCATCAGGTAGGAGGAGGGCTGGATGGTGGTTTGTTTTCTTCCCCCCCCCCGTTCTGGAAGCGCTGCTGAATAATTCAGCCGGGAGTAGGCATCTTGGGTCACCTTGCGCAGCCGGCTGCGTGCCGGAGCCGCCTGCCTAAGATGGAGGTTGTGCAGGATGCGTGCGGGATCGCCCGGCTGCTGGCAGCTCCCTGGCGCTGACTGACTGCAGGTAGGCAGAGAGCCTTGGCCTTGGCTGGTGATTCCCGGGAAATCCCTTTCCCGATGAGCTCTGACCGTGGGGACGTGCGAGGCTGCCGGGGCCACCGTGCCAAAAACTCACCTTGGGCTGGAGGGCAGGTCTGGCCCCTGGCAGGGACCAGGCACCCACCTCTTCTTTTCCTTGGGGAATCGTATTTTTCTTGCTGGTTTCGTGGGCTCCCTAGTGCCTCCTCCACCTGGAGCCCAGCTGGACCTGCCCAGGGTAAGGTTTTGGGGCTTCTTGCGGGTGTGGCACCAAGAGGGGTGACCCCCCCAGTGCTCCAGCAGCGTGGATGCTCGGGGACATGTTGGGAGATGGCATTCAGCTCTCTGTGCTGTCTAACTGGGGGAACTGGTTCTGGCAGTGGAGGGGTGCTGGAGACATCTCCGGGGGGCAGGAGGTGGCTGACCCTGAAGATAAGAGGCTCGAAAATGCCTGGGAAGCTCCGTGGGTTGGAGTCACCTTTGCTGCAGGCTTGGCTGTGAGTTTTGGGGCTGCTGGAATGTGCAGGCAGGGCTCCCAGACACACCAGTGTCAGCAGCAGCCGCTGTGGAGCCCCGTGGGTGCAGGTGGGAAATGGGGATGCCAGTGTGAGAGTGGAAACTAGTTTGTTGCCTTCCTCCTGCTTGCAGGCACCTGAGTTTTTGGGTGCTGCCTCCTCCCCTGTGCCCTGAGTGCAGTGTGTCTGCACCTTCTCTCCTCCCTGCAGCGCTTGAGGGCTGTGATAAATCAGCTCAGGAGGGATCTGAAAGTAGGGGGCAAACAGGGGATTGGAGGGTGTGAGGCTCAGGTACAGGGATCTGGGGATGAGGAGTGTCCATGGTCAGCCTTGTCCACGTTGGTGCAGGAGGAAGGGCAGCCAGGCTGGGCTGTTCCTGTCCCATGGACGCTGCCTGGCACCAGCCCTGCATCCCTCAGCAGATGTGGGATCCCGAGGATGCTCTGCCTTGGCATCTGCTCCTGCAGCCAGTGGAATCAAGGACACGGCTGCTGCAGTGCCTGCCCTGGAGATTTCCCAGGGGTTGGGCTGTGCTGGTGGGCAGGGGGGTGAAATTGGGCTGCAGTTGGGGCAGCTTAGCTTGTTCTGGGATGTCTGAGCGTTCCTGGTTGACACATGGGCAACCTGTGAGGCTGAGAGGGGGCTTCTCCATAGCAGGGCTGGATGGTGAGGGGGGTTGGACAGAGCCCCTGTTTTGGGGAATGTGGCTGAGACAACCTGCAGCGGTGTCACCAAAATCAAACTCTCCTGGATGAGGCTGGCTGAGCATCCCGGCATTCCCAGTTGTGTCTTTGGGATACCAGGTCCCTACGGTGCCCACCGTCACTCAGCATGCTCTGGAGATGATGGTGGTGGTGGCACGTCCACACCAAGGCTGTGTGGTGCCACTGGGTGACACTGCTGCCACCCCAAGCTGACAGGGAGCCCCAGGCCAGGCTGGTGAATGGATCCAGCCAAATGCTGCATTTCAGACAGGAAATTTCCCTCTGCTCCCCTGCCAGAACAGCTCCTGGGGCTGTGATCCTCTGTTAGCAGTGGATGAGAGGAATGAAGAATTGCCTTGGAGGCACCCTGGGGCAAGCTGGGGAGAACCACCTGGGCTTTGTGTGCCCAGTGCAGGACACCAGATACATTTTGGCTGTTTCCATGCTGGGCTCTATTCTGCTCTGTGTTTGCTGCCGCTTTAGCAGTGTTTTCTCTGCCTTCAGCCAGGGTTCGACCTGGCAGTGGAGGAGAGCAGTGCAGTGAGTGCTTGGCAGTGCCAGGGGAATGACTGGTCTTGATCTTGGAGGTCTTTTCCAATCTAAATGATTGCCTTTGGTGTTGTGCCTGTCTGGCCTGAAGGGTTTGGGCTGGGGTCTCCTGCCCTCCCCTCTTCAGGCAGAGCCCCACCCTCTGTTCCCTGCAGCTGCTGGGCTGTTGCTGCCAGGATGGTTGTTTATCTCCTCACCAAAGCATCACCTGCAACACCTGGGGATCAGTGGAGCTCAAGGGAACAATTTTCCCCTGCAGCACCTCAGCTGCTCCAGCTGGGCCGGATGAGCTGCTGGTGGAGTCGGCGTGAGGTGGCACTTAGGGACTTGCCACGTGGGGCTGTCTCAACCACCTGGGCTGTACCCACTGGAGGAGGGCTCTGAAGGCTTTTTCCCTTCAGTCTTTCTGCTGTGTGTGACTTCTGCCTTCCCCCAGTGGGGTGGGAGAGGCTGGAGCAGTGGCAGAGCACCGGCTTCGCTCAACGCAAACGTGCGCGGCCACCGACGGCCTCGTGGGCAGCTCCTGCACCAGCCCTTGGGGTTCTCCACCGTTCCATGCCATGGGCACCGTGGTCAACGTTCACCTGCCCCATCTCTCCCCACAGGTGAGCGTGGCAGGCTATGGGATGGATGAAGCTGAGCAGGACCAGTATGAAGCTCGGCTCAAGGAGCTCTTCGACAGCTTTGACAGCACGGGCACGGGGTCCCTGGGGCAGGAGGAGCTCACTGACCTCTGCCACATGCTGCACCTGGAGGAGGTGGCCCCAGCACTGCAGCAGACCCTCCTCCAAGGAAACCTCCTAGGCAGGGTAAGGCTGGGGACATGGGGGGGCTGGGGGAGACAGACACACCGGTGTGTGGAGTTGTCTTGGAAGGAGACTGAATGTCTGGGGCTTCGGGGCTTGTGTTGGTCTGTTCAGCAGGGTGGGCACAGGGTGACTTCTGAGAGGGCAGTCGGTGATAACGGGGAAGGGCACTGCTCTGCCCTGGCTGGAGGTGGTCTGAAACTCAGAAGCCATCACTTCAGGTGTGTTTTCCCGGTGTCCAAGGCCAGACCAAGTGCTGGGTCCTGGCTGCTCAGCTCACACGGTGTTCGTGCTGCTGCTGGCCTGGGTCAGCTCCCTCAACCAGCTCACCAGGTGCTTGCACAAAGTCTGCAGCCCTTGGGATGAGACAGGGACCTAAATCCAGGGCTTGAGCCTGTGATTTACGTTGGCTTAGGCTGTAGTTAGGCTGGCAGGGCTGTGTGCAGTCGTGCACGTTTCTCTAAGGTAAAGAATATTGTCCAACTCAGGCAGTCGCTGGCTTGGCCACCTTTTTCCATTTACCTGGTGTTGGTGGCTTTCCAAAGCCATTTTTTGGTTGTGCTTGTACCTTTAGAGGGTTAAATGCCAGGGCACTGAGCAGGAGCTGCTTGCCCTTGGGGAGATCTCCGTGGTGTGTCCTTGTGCCTTCTGCATTCCGTCTTTCCCGGCACGCTGTGCTCAGAGTGCATCGGATCCTTCCCTTAAAATCACCCTGAAATCCCATCACTGCTCATTAAAATCAGAAAATGTGGAGCAGGGCAGCCAGGGCTCTCGACAGACAGGAGCTAAGTGGCTATTCCGACTCCAATTTCCAATCAAACTGCAGCTTTCAGGAACAAAATTCCTTTAACGAACAAAGCCACCTCTTCCCTGGGGCCAGAGCGTAGAGTGGTGCTGGAGCCTGGCACAGGGATGAACCCAGGTGGAGGTTTCTGACCTTTGGAGCTGCAGTGTGGTATTTGCTGGAGCACCGGAGACTTTGTTATGCTCCGTTGTCTTGAGCTTATTCTGCTCGGATGCTGTTATAGAATCGTGGAATGGGTTGGGTTGGAAGGGACCTTGAAGATCATCCAGTTCCACCCCCCTGCCATGGGCAGGGACACCTTCCACTATCCCAGGGTGCTCCAAGCCCCGTCCAACCAGACCTTGGGCACTTCCAGGGATCCAGGGGCAGCCATGGCCTCTCTGAGCAACCTGTGCCAGGGCCTGCCCACCCTCACAGGGAAGAATTCCTTCCTAATATCCAATTTAACATCTACCTTCCTTCAACTTAAAGCAATTTCCCCTTGTCCTGTCATCTGGCTTTGCCACTTGTGGGGTAGAGGGAAAGGAAGGGCACTGCTAAAGGTGTGGCTGTCACAGGGCACCGAAAAGCCCCTGTTGAAGCATCCCGAGTGCCGGGTCACGCTCACCCCATCCCGACTGGGAGCTCCGTCACTGCAAGCTGCCCCAGGGCACGAGGCATCATCCCGTTTTGTTTCATCCCTTTTGTCTCTAAGGGTGGTTCTGCCTTTACAAATCTGTGTCTCCTGCTCTCCCTGGCGTTGGTGCTCCTTAGCAGCAGCAGATGGCCCCGTGTCTGAGCGCCAGCCGGGTTTAACAGCCCTCGGATCCTCGGGGTTTCCTGGGAATCACGTCGGGAGAACAGCAGCAAACACGTTGCTCCCCGAGCACAGACTTCTTGCACCTGCCCCGCCGGCTCCTCGCCGCAGATGGTCCCAGCTTTTGTCCTCCTGCACTTCCAGGGGCTGGGATTTATGGGAGGGCACGGGGGGAAATGGGGGGTGGCAGGGGGGATGGTTTTGTCTGCTAAGGGGTAACTCAGCGGGGCCACGTGTGCTTGCTTTTGTGTGGGGGCTCTGCTCCAGGGATGAATGCTCCGGGATCATAGAATCATGGAATGGTTTGGGTTGGAAGGGGCTTTAAAGCTCGCCTGGTTCCAACCCCCTGCCGTGGGCAGGGAGTGCTCGGGTGGACCAGGAGCTGAGCTGGCGTCCGGTGAGGGGCTGGATACCTGCAGTGCTCTGGGGATTCATGGGGTCTGGTGGGCGGTGTAAACCCTGCCCTGACTCGTGGCAGAGCCAAACCACCCCTGAACTGCAATTCCCAGCAATTCCTGGGATTCCTCAGGAGGGCTGTTCCCTCAGGCCCCTCGAACTTGGTGGTGGGGGTGCAGGTGTGTCTGTCTGTCTGCCCTCTCTGTGCCCTTTCATTAGCACCAAACTCGTGTTGTCTCGGGGACAGTGCACGTGGCCTGGGGCTGGGTGATGTGCAGGGATGGGGGTAAGTCCCTGGAAATCGTGTCCCATCCCTGGAAGTGTCCAAGGCCAGGTTGGAGAGGGTTTGGAGCAGCCTGGTCTGGTGGAAGGTGTCCCTGCACACAGCAGGGGGTGGGAAGGAGATGAGCTCTAAGGTCCCTTCCCACCCAAACCATTCTATGGATTCTCTGAATTTGGAACCCTGCACAGGGATTGTCCTTGGCAGGGATGGGGAGCTCAGGTTTCAGCTGCACTATTGCATTAACAGCCTGCAGCGAGGACACCACAGTGTGGGGTTTCACTCCTCAGCTCCCTTCAGTGCTGTGGGTGGTGACCTCTTGCAAAATATCCTCCCTCTGTGCCCGCAGTGGTGCTGTTCCCCTTAATGTGCAGTGTGGTCCCCTTAATTTTGCATGTCACTCAGGAGGCTTGGGTGCAAGGCTGCAAGACTGCCCTGTTCTGCTGTTGTTGCAAGATTGCCTTGCTAGGACCAGAGGGAATGGCATGGAGCTGTGCCAGGAGAGGTTTAGGTTGGATCTCAGCACAAGGCTCTTCCCCCAGAGGGTGGCTGGCACTGAACAGGCTCCCCAGGGCAGTGGGCACAGCCCCAAGGCTGCCAGAGCTCCAGGAGTGTTTGGACAACGCTCTGAGGGACAGGGTGGGATTGTTGGGGTGTCCTGTGCCGGGCCAGGGGTTGGACTGGATGATCCTTGCAGGTCTCTTCCATCTCAGGCTATTCCATGATTCTATGTCTTCCCCACTTCCCTCTGCGACCTTCTGGCTGCCTCTGCTAGCAGGAATTTTCAAACAGGGGCAGAGCTTTGGGAATAGGGCTGTGCTGGAAGATCAAGGACTGGGGGAGCTGGAAGGAGCCCCCGGTGCCGGGTTTGCCCCGGAGAGGGTGGGTGTGCAAAGTGCTTTGCATTGCAGGGACAGGCAGCGGGGAGCAGCAGGTACCTTGGCACAGGCACACGCTCTTTCTAGTGCTAATAAGTCACGGCTTCAGAGGGAAGTGGCTGCAAAGCAGGCTTGGGATTTCTCAGAGGAGCTGGGGTTGCTCGGCAGCCGCTGCTTGGTTGGTCCCCGATTCCCGCGGGGAGGCAGTGCCGGGCTGGGCTGGCTCTGTTGGTGTTTAGTCTTGTTTGCCTCTGATTTACTTGTCCTGGGAAAGTTCTCCTCACCCAGGGGGGTTGATGTGCCCACAGGGCTCTGCTGGGGGAGTTTGGGGGGGATCTGTGATCCACGTGTCTGGCAAACGTTGTGCCATCGCATCCCAAACTCCGCTGAGTTCGGACTGGTTTGGATCAGCCTCGAGTTGCTGTTTGAGATCCCCTCCCCCTCCATGAGCAGATGCACAAGTTGGCAGCTCCAAAATAGAATCCCAGAATGTTGTGGGTTTGAAGGGACCTTGAAGATCACCCTGTTCCACCCCGCTGCCATGGGCAGGGGCACCTTGCACTAGACCAAGCTGTGTCCAACCTGGCCTTGGACACTTCCAGGGATCCAAGGGCAGCCACAGCTTTTCTGGGCAGCTCCTGCCAGGGCCTCCCCACCCTCACTGAAGGATTTCTGCAGCTTTTGTGGCTTTGCTGTCCCATGGCTGCCTGGTCCTCGAGCCCAGCTCCTAATTTTATCAGCTGTATTTCTCTAAGCACTCTCTGTGTGCAAACGTGCAACATCCAAGGTCAGACATGCACCACAGAGACTGATTTTCCTGCTTATCTGGTGTTAGAAAAACCTCTGGCCCATCCTGAAGGAAAATCTCCCCCTCTACCAGCTGGGACTCCACCTCCAGAGTGGGGTCTCACCCCTGGGAAGGCACAAGGGGGGAAACTCCTGCTCCTGTCCCTCTGCTGCTGATTTGCATTTTCAATCCTGCTGTGCAGCCAAGCAGAGCACTGGCACGGGGTGGGGGGGGGTGCTGGAGGATGGGCCAGGTCCTGCCCCTCAGCCTAATCTTCCATGGGCTCCTTTGGATGTGGTGGTCATGGTAAAATCGCTCAGGGTGGGGGGCGGTGCTGGGGCCATCTGTCCCTTGTGTCCCTTCACCCTTCCTCCTCTTCACTAATGCAAACACCACTGCCGGCCTTGCTGGGGCAGAGCAGGTGATGGGCTGGTGGTGCTTCACACCTGCCCAGGTGGTTTTGCCCTGTTTGGTTCAGTGTGTTTGCACCAGTGGTGCAAAGTGAGTTTTGTTTTGTTTTATTTTATTTTCTCTCTGCTGTGAGGTCCCATCCAGCCCCAGCACCCACCTGAGGGACCAACTCTATTGTTATTGTTCCCTTCCTGAGAAGATCCCAGGGGGAGAGAACCTGTTACTCGAACACCCTCATCTTTTATTCATCCTCATTTAGTCTAAATGTCAAGTTGGTTGTTTTTTTTTTTTTCTTTAATCGAGGGAATTCTCCTCTCTCTGTAAACTGTCCTTTGGAAGTACACCAGCCTTTGGAAGTGCATGGCAGCAATTAGTATTCAGATGAAGGCATCCCTGACGAGTTGCTTTGCTGAACATATTTTTAACTGTGTTTTAAAAAAAAAAAAAAGTTTAAAAATGTTCAGAACCACAGGGGCGATTGGCATTGCCTGAGTGAGCTCACCTGTCTCCCCTCCCTGCCACAGAGCTCATTGGCCTTTTTTTTGGGCTTGCTTGACCCCAAAAACAAGCTGGAGAACTTCAAACCCCAACCCTGTTGCTTGTGCAGCATCAAAATCCCCTCTGTGGCTTTGGATTCGCAGCGATCGACTCCAGCCAGAGCAGCCTCGGTGGCTTCTTCAAGTCCAAAACCCCTTGTCCGAGGCTAAAAACTCTTCCAAGATTTATTTAGCCAGAAGAAATCGCAGCAGCCAGCTCTGCCTCACCACTGACCCATGTCAAATAGCTTCTCCAGCTGTCCCCCACGGCTGGAATTGCTGACATTCCCGGGCATGGCTGGGAAGGAGCTGGAGCCCCTCTGTGACTGTTCGTGACCATGAGGCTTTCCAGGAAGGCACAGATGGAAAAGGGAGAGGAGGGGGGGGTAAAAAACCCCCTCAGTGGGAGGATCAGCCCTCTGTGGTTTTCCCAGCCACGCTCCAGACCTGGCATTCCCAGTCTGTGGAATGAAGGGAGCTGGGGCAGGACTGCCCTGGGAAGGGAGTGATTTTTTTTTTTTTTTTTTTTTTTTCTGCCATCCAGTGGTTTTTGAAGCTTAATTAGGGCAGTGGAGCATTTCCACAACCAAATCTCTCATCCCTGGTTAGGAATGGTATCTCCCTGACCCTGGCCAGGTCATCTCAAGCAATGGAGATGTTCCCTGCTCTCTTGGACATGTTAATTCGGCTTCCTGCTTGCTGGAAAAACCCAACCCACGCGTGAGAACGGTGGCTCTGGGTCATTCTGTGATAGCAATAAGGTTTTTTTCCATGTGCCCCAAAGACTCTGGTTGTGTCTTGATGTCCTTTGCTGTCACTTCTCCAGGCTCCAAGACCGCAGGAGCCGAGATTCCTTTGTTGTCAACACAACAGGCACTCGTGTTTCAGCGTGGTCTGAGTGATATCCACTGCTGCCCATCTCCCTGCTGGATTATTGCCCTCATATTTAACCACCTGCACCAGCTGATTTCCTCTTTTCTTCCCTTTTTCCCCCACAGGTCCACTTTGATCAGTTTAAAGAAGCACTTATCCTCATCTTATCCAGAACCCTGTCAAATGAAGAGCACTTCCAAGAACCAGGTAAATACTAAAATTATCCAAAACGTTACATTTTCTTGCACAGAGGAACTTGGAGAAAGTGCTTTTTAGGTGCTGAGCTTGGCCAGCCAAGCAGAAGAGCCTGTCCTGGGGGGGAGAAGGAGAGTTGAGGTCTGTTGTGGAGCCTTGTGAAAAGGCATTTTCAGAGCTCTAAGATATTTATGTCCCATTACCATGATCTAAATGCCCGGAGGGGCACGTGATGTCTGCGTGGAGAGAGCTCTAACAGCACTTCAGATGCTCGGGATGTCTCAGGGCTGCGAAATGGGCTGAGGTCTCTCCATCCCACAGCACTTCTGGTGGCCAGGGATGCTTTAGGAGTGGATGGCTGTGGGCAGGCACTCAAATGGCTGCTTTAATGCTGCTGCTTTTTCCCAGCTGGGACTAACGTTGATTTTTATATTTTTTTTTCTAAGTCCGTTCTGTTTCCTTCTGTCTGGGATGAGCAGGGTCAGCCTGGTCCCATAGGAAGCTGCTCTCTGTTCCTCCCAGGAAACAGCCTGGTCCAAAGTGTTCCTGAGCAAGGTGAACTCCCTGACAAACCAAGTTGGGGCCAGTTGGAGAATTCTAGAACGGTTTGGGTTGGAAGGGACCTTAGACCATCGTGTTCCACCCCCTGCCATGGGCAGGGACACGTTGCACTAGACCAGTTTGCTCCAAGCCCCACCCAGCGTGGCCTTGAACGCTTCCAGGGATGGGGGGCAGTGCTGGGAGTCTTCACTGTCCTGTTTTTATCTTGCCTTGTCTCAGTGTGCCTTGAAAATGTAGCTTTTTAGGCTTTCCTTGGCAGGAAAGATGGTTAAGCTTCATCTGCCTCCTCCCCCTTCCCCACACATCTCCCAGTGCACGAGGGACTGGTGGTGCTGGGAGCACTGGGAGGTGTGGGCTGGGCCCCTGCAGCTCCAGCTGGTGTCACACCTGTATGTAAATCCCTAATCCTGTCTTTGGAGCAGCCGGGGGAACGAAATCCCCCAAGGAGAAAACAGCTTAGCAAGGGTGGAGAGGGAAAACTCCAGGTTTCCTCTCCTGGAGCATCAATCCCAGCTGGAACATCCCACTCTGGAGAGAGCAGCCTGCCAGCAAAATTACACCTTTCCCCCTTAGACAGGCTGCACAAAAACACAGGGTGGAAGAGATGTGATTGATGGATTATCTTTATTTTTCCACCTCTCATTTCCAAAGCTCTTAATGCTTAGAGGGAGATGGGTGATGACAGCTCTTGCACCAGGCATTCCTTAATGGAATTTCCCAGCACAGGTCAGTGGGTGCTGGGGAGAGAGAGAGAGGAGGGGGGAGCATTGTGGTGAGGGGTGGGATCTGCTCCAATCCCTTCCAGCCCCTTGGAGAGGAGCTGGCACGGAGCAAGGAGGCAACCCCAGCACCCCAGTGGAGCAGAACTAATCCAGCATCCTGCGTTCATTGGGGAATCATATGGCTGAGGAGCTCCAGCTTGATTGAAATGTAAATAAATCTTCCAGAAACAGGCTGAATTTGGGGTTGTCGCCGGGGAAATTACGAGTGAAGCCAGAGAGCCCTCCTTGGGGACACGTTTGTCAGCTGGGTTTGGAATGGCAGGAAATCAAAGGGGCACGGGGTGCAGGTAGGGAGGCAGCACCAGGCAGGCCTGGGAGGCATTTTATTTTTAATGCATTTTGACAGGTTGGTTAACGCCAAAGTCGTTGCTTCTTTTAATTTAGATCAAGCTGGAGATTTGGAGAACAAGCTGCTTTGTGCTGCTGGTGTCAAACTGTCAGGGAGTGTGGAAATGCTGGTGTTCCAGCCCGCCCCAGGCTCGGGGAAAAAAATTGAGTTAAGAGCTCTAAATCGTATCATTTAAATGAAAATTTAATTTGGGGAGGGGGGGGGAGGGGAAAAAAAAAAAAAAGGCAGAGATTTTAAGGCTGTTTGCTTGTGTCTGTGGAGTTTGATCTGGAAGGAAGAGACTGCGTGCTGTGATGCTGTGGTTTTATCCAGGGATTTGGGTAATGGGAAGGTCACTTGGGTGGGCTCGTGGCTTTGGTCTGTCCTGCGTGTGCAACACGGCCAAGGGACCTGGCTGGGGACATCATCATCATCCTTGTCCCTGTGGGTGCTCCTGGCTCGGGGAGGATGGCTCAGCACAAGGAGCCCAGGGGTGACAGGAAGGACATGGAGCTGTTGGAGCGAGTCCAGAGGAGCCACCAAGCTGATCAGAGGGATGGAGCAGCTCTCCCATAAGGAAAGGCTCTGAGGTTTGAGATTGTTCAGCCTGGAGAAGGGAAGGCTCAGGGCTGACCTGATTGTGGCCTTCCAGGAGCTGAAGGGATCCCACAGGAAAGATGGAGAGGGACTATTTAGAAGGGCCTGGAGTGACAGGACAAGGGAATGGCTTCAAACTGACAGAGAGAAGGTTTAGATGGGATGTTGGGAAGAAATTTGTGGCTGTGAGGGTGGGCAGGCCCTGGCACAGGTTGCCCAGAGAAGCTGTGGCTGCCCCTGGATCCCTGGACATGTCCAAGGCCAGGTTGGAACACCCTGGGCTAGTGGAAGGTGTCCCTACCTGTGGCAGGAGGTGAAATGAGATGGTCTTTAAGGTCCCTTCCAACCCAAACCATTCTGGGGTCTATGACAGGGCAGCCCTGGGGTCCCATCAGGATCCCTGGGCTGGGGATAAGGAACCAAAACTGCTGTGGTTCCTGCAGAAGCAGCCGAGGGGGTTTCCTTGTTTTGGGAGGAAGCAGCAGGTGGGAGAGGCACTCAGGCTTGCAAAGAGCAGCTGATACATTTATATGATTTTTTTTTTTTCTTGGCAAAGAGGAAAACTCCCTTTGCAGAGGGAAGACTGGCAGGCAGGATGGTCCTGGTGTGCTGCGGGCGCTTTGCCTGGGAAGCAGCCCTGGAAACCAAGGCAGGCAGAGTTCCCAGTGCTGCTGTCATCAGCTCTGTCCCCTTGAGGATGATGGTGTGGGGACACAACCCCAGCCGTGAACCAGAGCATCAGCTGGCTGGGCAAACCCTGGCTGTGCTGGGAAGAGGGACGGGGAGATTCCAGGAAAAGCAGAAAAAGGCTTGAATGTGGTTTAAAACAGTGATTATTTTAGCTCCTGAGACCCGTGGGACTGGGCTGGCTGCTGCTGCCACCACTGCTCTTTGTCCACGGGTCATTGTTGGGCCAGTAAAATAGATTTAAGGGTGGAGAAAGAAAGAAAAAAAATAATAATTTCTGTGGGTGATTAGGGGAAAGAAAAAAAAAATCAGACTTTTTTTTTTTTTTCCTTTTTTTTTTTTTTTCCTTCCCCATTATAGCAAATAAAAAGTGCGTGGAAGCTCAGATAGGGAGGGATTACCAGGGTGGAGTGCAGGATTACAGGAACACCCGGGAGAAATTAAAGAGCAGTTTGACGCCATCGGCCCTGCGGTCACCAGGGGTTGTTGGGTCTCTTTTTCCTCCTCCCCAGCACGTGGAGACAACAGAAGTGCCCTCCCAAAAAGGACCTGGTGGGAGTGATGCCCTTGGAGGGGCACCCATGGGGGTGGAAGGTTGTTCAAGTGGCTGCAACATAGGTATAAAATCAATTGCCTCTGTCCAGACAGGGGTGGTTTATGCCCGGACAGAATCTTTGGGGTGGAAACACGTTGATTGTTTTTTTGGGTCGTGGTGACCCAGCCATCGCTCCGAATTATGGAACAGGGACTTGGAGGAGTTCAGACATACCTGGTGCCTCAGGGGATTAGGATTTAGCAGATCCCAGCTGCCATGAGCTTTGCCCAGCAGTTGGAGCAGCCCCTGCCTTCCAAATCTTAAGCAGCAGAGAAATTAATTTCACCTCTGTAGATGCCGGGATTGTGGGACGAGGGTCTTGCTGCTCTAAACCCCCTTTTGTCTACACTCCAGGGCTTTGATGCTGGGCCCAGGAAAAAAGGGGAGCCCCCTCCCCATCCTCTTCCTCCATCCTCCCCAAGCATCTGAGGGCAGAGCAGGATTTTGCAATGACTTATCTGGCGCAGAAAGGCAGAAAATCAAGTGTAAATCTTTTCACTGCCGAGCTGGGCGAGGGGGGAGCGAGGAAGGGAATTGATGGTTTCTGTCTGCGGTGCTGAAATCAGGGGGTCTTGTGAAATGGAGGCTTAAAGTGGGTTGTTTGGTGGTTTGGTTTTTTTTTCTTTTTCTCGGGGGGGCACTTTGGGGACCACAAACCCTCTGGGCAATGGGCAGGAAGGTTGAGAGGCTTGTTCTCTTGTCCCCAGCCTGGGGGCAGTTCAGGGGGGGCAGGTCAGACCTCAGTGTTTAATTAGGCACCGACTCTAGAGCCTAAGCCTGAGTGTTGCTGAGGGCTGTGGAAGGCAGGGAGGGCTCAACTTATTTCATTTTTCTCTTTTTTTTCCCCTTTCTTGATGCCTTGTCAGCCACACAGTAATGGGAACCTGTGAGCTGCAGCATCTTGCCTTGCTGCTGGTGGGAGAAGTGGGTACCTGGACTCAATCATCCTGCCCTCTGTTCAGTTCAGTGGGATATTTTGGGGGATAAATAGCACACAGGGCTGTCTCATGGGCATCTGCCTCACTGAAAACCTTGATTTTTGACATCTCCCTCCTGTTCCTCCTTTGCCTTTGAGGGCACGTGTGGATTGAGCAGCTCTCTCCATCTAAGGCTGGGCTCGATGATCTGGGACACCTTTTCCAACATGATATAGTAATTAGAGTTGGATCAGGGGTTGGACTTGATGATCTTGGAGGTCTTTTCCAACCCAATCTATTCTATGATTCTATGATTCTATAATCCTTCCTCATCAGTTTTGGCTGGGAATGAGAGATTGTTCAGCTCATCACTGAACTTCCTGCACTCAGGGAGCACGGGGAGCTGCTTTTTGCTGGTGTGTGCACTCGGCATTCCCTAAATGTTGGGAATGGTGGGAGCATCAAGGGCAGGGCTGCTGTGCCAGGGGGTTGGGTTGGGAAACCAGGAGATGGAGAGGCTTAAAGGATGCTACAGGTGTGGAAGGTGTATCCATGAGTGAGAGATGGTGGTGAATGAGGCTTTCTGGAGAGGAGATGGATTTGTGCTTCCAGGGATGGGGCTGCAGGACGTGGTCCCTTATGCCAGTGTGGCACAGGATGGGGAAAGAACTGCAACCCAATGTTAACAAAAACACCCTGGCTCTGGAAACAGGATTTCAGGGTGCCTGAGCTATGGGATTTCAGGGTGCCAGAGCTGGGATCTCCTCAGGCACAGCCGGTTTGAAAGTCAGAGCAAAGCAGGAGCAAACTTTCTGCTCTCGAGCTGTGAAGGGTCACCTTTCCCTGCTGGGGATGTTCTCAGGCTTCACAGCCTTTTAATTACAAAGGGAAAACAAGCTCACCCAGGGTGCTCAGACCGAACAGGAGAGAGAAATCACCTCCAAATGCTTAAAGCAGAGAAGGAGGGAGATGCTCCCATTGTTCCCATCCCTGTGCTTGCAGGGAGCTCGGTGTGAAGGCACTTGTGTTTCACAGAATCATGGAATGGCTTGGGTTGGAAGGCACCTTGAAGAACTATCTTGTTCCAACCTTTCCATGGACAGGGACACCTTCCACTAGGCCACATACAGCTGGATTTCCAGCTGCAGCAGTGGTTAAACACACTGTCAGTGTGGCAGGGTTGGAAACAGAATTCTTTGGGAAACCCAGAAGGAAATTTAGCTTCAGCTTTGCTGTTGCTAAATTACAGCTTCTTCCCCCCTCCTTCCCCCTCCCCCATCTTTCCAAAGACAGATGGGCATGGAGGTACATCCCTGCCTTAGGAATAAAAAATGATTCCTGAAGAAAAACAAAGCCCTCCCCCCCCCCCAAGCCCTCTTGTGAGGGAGGGAGAAAATAACAGGGTGAATGAGTCGCCACAAATATTAGCATTTCAGAGAGAGCTGCTGGATGGAGATTGTTCACCACCAGGCAGGCTTTAATAGGAGTGATAAGGTTTGCTTTTGTTCTGGGGCTCTTGCTCAATCAGCCTGCCTCCTCGAGATTTTTTCTATCGGCTCCCTCCATCTCCCAACTTTCATGTGCTGAGTCCCAGCTGCAGCAAATCTTGTTAAGATGGCCTTGTTCAAACACGGGCGCCGGGTTTGTTCCCTAGAGCTGCACCACGGCTGGATGGAGTGCGAGGCTTCAGGAATCAAAGCGCTCCTCGTCCTGTGTATTTTATAATTCATTGCATAGCTAAGTTGTGGAATATATATATATATATTTTTTTTTTCCGCCCTCTAACAAGCTTGAAGCCTTTTCTTCCATATCTGAGGGAATATTATCCGAGGAGGCATTTGGGGAGGGGGTTTTTAGAGACCCGCTGCTTCCCCCGTATCCTTTGTCAGCGATGGACCGGCTTCCCTGCGCCTTATTAGTATTGCAGCCTTGCATTTATTTTATATCAGAGCCCTCTGCAAATAAAATTTTCAAAAGCTGCTGCTCTTGCCACCGCGAGTGGCGGAAAATAAAAGATGATGGGGTCCTGGGGGGCTCTCGACAGTCAGGTTAGCAAACACTGAAACAAAGCGTGGCACGGAGCCTTCCCTAATTGAATCCCTGGTTAATTTGGTCCTCCGTCTAATTTGCCCCCTGCTCCAGACGCCGGGTGATTCTCACTGAAAAACAGCCCAAAAAGGCGCTTATTTATTTTTTTGTTTTGATCCTCGTCTGCGAGCGCTCCCGGATAATTCGGTCCCAGAAGGCAGGAGCTTGCTGGGGGAAGCTGGAGCCGGGGAATGTTGGAGCCCCTGTAATTAGAGGAGGGCTCCAAAGGGTTATTTAGATCCCGCAGCTGGCGCAAGCTGGGACCTGCCCCCGCTGTCCCCGGGATCGGCTGCCGCTGTCGGCCCCTGAGAGACACGTTCGCCTCCAAACTCGCCTGGATTTTATTTTTTTTTTTTTTTTCCCCCACTTGCCAGGTTGTTCTTATGCTTTTAACGGAGCTGAAATTTAAATCCACGGATAGCAGCGCCCAGGTGTCTGAGGGAGCTGGAGACCTGAGCTGCCCGAGTGCAAGGCTGTCCCTAATTAAACCTGCCCGGCGCTGCTAATGGAGATTAGCGCAAGGAGCAGAGGCCTAATGGACTTTCCATCCCAGGCTCTTGGCAGGGCTGAGGGAGCGTTTCCCCATCCTGTTAACTTGATCTGGGAATTGGGGAAGGGTGAGGAAGACTCCACTTAGTGACAGCTTCTTTTTTTTTTAGGGGGGGAGCAGAACCACTCCTAACCCGTCATGCCCAACACCACACTGAGGGCAGCAATCCTGGGAATGTGCAGGCATTGGTGCCTGTCCAGCAGGAATGTTGGTGGCATTTCTGACCAAACCAACCTTGGGAGCTTGATCTGAAAAAAAAAAAAAAAAAAAATCATGTTATCTATGTGTGTTGTTCTTAAATTTCCCAGATTCCTCCCCGGAAGCGCAGCCCAAGTACATCAAAGGTGGCAAACGCTACGGGCGGCGTTCCCTGCCAGAGTTCCAGGAGTCCGTGGAGGACTTTGCCGAGGTGACCGTCATCGAGCCCCTGAGCGAGGAGGCACATCCCACACACATCCCCTCCGGCGAGCAGGTGAGCAGGGAAGCGGGATGAGCGCTGGGTGGGCTTGTCACCTCCAGACATGGCTGCTCCTCACATCCAAAGGGGGTTCGGGTGTCCTTGGAGCCTTCCCAAGCGGAAAGGCATCGATCAGCCATGCCAGGCAGCACCTCCCTCGCTCCAGCCCCTGATTCCCATCTGCGTGGCTGCCGTGGGAAGCCGGGAAGGAGCCCGGGGTGATGTGCTCCGGGTGCTGGTGGTGACGTGCTCCGTGTGCCGGCACCGCTGGCCCCGCCGCTCTCCTGACTCCGGAGCGGGCCAGCAATTAGGGAAGGGCTGTCCCGCTGCCTCCGTGGCTAATGAAGTGTGGGCTGGGAGCACACGGAGCACGTCCACATCCATTAGCTCGGCTGCCAAAACCCACCCGTGGCTCTGGAGGTCTCTGGCAGAGGGGAAAGGGGTGGTGGGTGGCAGAGCTCTCTGACCAGCACGTGCCTTGGGATGGTGACTTGGATTTGCTCAAAAATCCAGATTTTTTTTTAATTTTTTTTTTTAAATTCTTGGTTTTGTGACTGAAATTCGTGGCTCTCTTTGTGCCAGGGCTTTTCAATCCCTAAAATCTCTTGCTTCCCCAGACAGAAAAGCCAAAGGAGCCGAGCGGTTGGGATCGGGGTGTGTTAGAGTACGGCCACAGCGGCATTTCCCGGGAGCTGGGCTGCTTCCAGCCTGCCCTGGGTTGCCAAGTATTGTTGATTCAGGAGCACAGGGTGGGAGTTTTCCAGTGGGAAGGAGAAGCGCTGCTGCTTTCTCCCCTCCTCTCTCTCGGCTTTGTTTGTGAGATGGGGGGGGGGAGGACTCTTGCAGCCACCAGCCCTGCATGGGAAAGCAAGGGAGAAATTTCCAGGTTTTCAGTGTTATTCCTGTGCTTAAAAATTAAAAAAAAAAAAAAAATCTCAAAGAAAAGCTTCTCCACCAGACCCAGCTTCTTGTCCCTGCTCTCGGTGACCTTTGCTCACCGCCGTGGGGATGCTCGTCCATCTCCTGGTGCTGCCCACGTGGGCTGCCCTGACCTTGGAATCGGTGTTAATCTGCCCACAGCCCCTAGGGAAGCCATGCCCTTGATGGAAGAGGCTACTCTAATCTTATTCCTCAGTTTTAGCTGTCACGGAGGTGTAAGAGGGTAGTTTATTAACAAGGTCAGTTAATTAACCCAGCTGGTACTGTAACCACGGGGCTGGATCAGTCTCCTGCTGAGAACGCTTGGTGCACCTCCTGGAGTGATGGGATGGTTAATTCTCTTGCAAATTAAGCAAAAAACTGGCTGAACTCTATCAGAGTTGCTATCTCGCTTCTAAAGCACATCCCCTTGGTGTGCGTGGAAATGAGTTGCTGGGAGGTGTCGAGGGGTCCTGGGGAAATGCTGGAGGCTCCTGATGCATTGACTCCCTGGGACTTGGCACAGCCACCAGCCTTTTTCCCAGTTTTCTGCTGTTGTGTGTACACACATCGCCGGCGTTCCGCAAGCCTGGCCCCGGCCCGGGCTGTCTGTGGCCTGAGAACTGGGACAGGGTGGCTTAATTGGCGCTTGCTCTCAAGCAGTGCCAATTAAAAGGGCTCAGGCTCTGTCTGAGAGGATTCCTTCCTTGCCTTCCTTCCCCTCCTGGTGGCTGTAACCACGAGGGGAGAGGCTGGAGGGCTGGGCTGTGCATGGGATCGGCTGCCCAGGGAGGCTCCATGAGCTCCATCCCCAGTGGATTTTTGGGTGCTGTTGGATAAAGTAACGAGCAGCTGGGTCTGGGTTTGGTGTTGATCCTGCTGTGATCAACAGCAGGGTGGTGGTGGTGGGATCCTGAGGGTCCCTCTGACCTTCAGGAGCTTGTCCCCATGGATGCTGACCATGCTGACATCCAAACCTCACTGAAGAGCATCTGTCACCTCCCCTCCCCTAGCTGTTGGCTCTGCTCTGGGAAGGATCCCTCCTACTTGCAGGTTCATAGGATCCCAAAATGGTTTGGGTTGGAAGGGACCTTAAAGTCCATCTTGTTCCACCCCCTGGCATGGGCAGGGACACCTTCCACTAGATCAGGTTGCTCCAAGCCCTGTCCAACATCCCAACTCTGTCCTTCCAGTGCCTCCTAGAGCTACTCTCGCCGATTTTCTGTGTGTTTGCTTCTGCAAGAGTTGCTTCTGGCATGGCACGTGACCCTGGAGCAAAACCTTCTGGGAGGCTCAGCTTGAAACTCCTCGTCTTTGGGTCCTTGGTGTGAGGCTCCCAAAGGTGGGATTGTCCTGTAAAGCCAAATTTGTGGATAACAGCTCAGGAGAGTGCCCGCTTCCCGCAAGAGTGTGTTATTGGTGTGACTCCGGTGCTTTGGAGCTGCAGGCACTTGGAAAAGTGGGGTTATGGAGATTTGATGGATTTTTGGGGTCTCTGCTCCGGCTGCTCAGCCCAGGGAGCTGATCTCTGGATCTGGGAAGAGCAGGGTTTGCCAGCACTGGGGGGCTCCGGCTCGGCGTGCGCTCCTGATCATCATTTTAATTAGCAATATATTCTTGGGGGAGAACAAAGGTTCTGTCTGGCTGGAGCAGATGGCAGCGGGGGAAGAGGTGGCTGCTGCTGCCTCGTTCTGGGGAGAGGCCACGGCGAGCAAACGGCACAGGCTGCAGATGCACTGAAAGCCCGTGGCCATCTGCTCCTCGGCCCGGCCCGAGCACGCGCCTCCCAAAGAAATAACGCATTCCTGGGATCCCCGGCGGCTGCTGGGTGTGACCCGTGGCCAGCTGTAGCACTGCTGGGGCTGTGTGGGGGGAACAATGCCGGGCCTGACATCGGGATGTCCCGGCCCCTCTTTGTGCTCCCGCCGGTGGTGGCCGAGCCCGAACCCTCCCAGCACACAAAGGGACCCCCGGCACGGACAGGGAGGTCACACGAGTGCCCCGGGGTCGCTGTCGGGGGGGTTGCCAACCCACAGCCCCCCCTTCCGTGTTGCAGCCTCGTGGGGTTGTCGGTGTTTACAGAGTTGTTGTGCGTTGTGGTTCCGTAGAATCCCGGGATGGTTTGGGTGGGAAGGGATCTTGAAGGCTGTCTCATTCCCACCCCCTGCCGTGGGCAGGGACACCTTCCACTCGACCAGGTTGCTCCGAGCCCTGTCTTGTTATGTCCATAAACACTTCCAGGGATGGGAGTGCCACGGCTTCTCTGGTTTTGGGGGGTCTTGGTTTTGAGGCGTCCTTGACGTGAGAGGATCTGGTGCTATGAAATATATATATATATAAAAATATAAATATATTGCTTATGCAGAAAGACTTGGACACGGTGGATCTGCCTTCTGAGCATCACTACCAGATTCCCCTCAGTTTCCCCCACCACCACAAGGACAAGGATGAGCGGCTGGAGGGTGGCACTCAGAGACCCTCTCCCCACACGGTGTTGGCTGTTGCACGTGTGCAAGCACTTCAGGGCTGGGCTGCTGTCAGCTCCTGCAATTTTTAGGCTGCTTTCTACCTCTGCAGATGGTAATTACATAAAATCATGGAATGGCTTGGATTGGAAGGGACCTTAAAGCTCATCCAGTTCCACCCCCCTGCCATGGGCAGGGACACCTTCCACTATCCCAGGTTGCTCCAAGCCCCATCCAACCTGACCTGGAACACTTCCAGGGATGGGATTTGACCAGGGATGGTACCTGCTGCCTCAGCTCCTGCTTTTTGTCTCTGGTGGGACACTGTGATGCTGTGGCAACCAAGGGCCCTTGCCTGGTCCGGCAGCTGAAACGGGAACGAGCGGCAGAGCTAAAAAAAGTCCAGTGACCTAATCCAGTTTCCATGGAAACGTTGTAGATTAATGGCTTTGAGCTGTAATCTAAGCGAGACGTATTGAACTTTTCTGCGATGATTTAGAGCCTCTTTATGTCCTGGGTGACTTTGCCTCCAAATCCATCGGTCACGTGCAGGCAGGAGCATCCACTTGTAGCGCCGGGGAAGCAACATCTGCCGAGGCCGCTGCCGAACCAGGAGTTGGTGTGGCGTGGGAGTAAATACCCTGGGCTGGTACAAGGGTGGTACAAGGGATGTACAACGTGTAGTACATGAGGGAATCATCTTAAATCCTGTACTTCTGCCCTGCTGCCGGTGCTGCCTGAGCTGATGGGGTGTTTCCAGAGGGAACGAGATCGCTTAAGACCACCAAAGAGCGGGGTTTTTTTGGCAGTACAGGTCTGTCTCCTGACCTAGAGCTGCAGTTAGTGTGGAGGAGTTTTGGAGTGGGCTTGGCTAAACATGGGCCAAAACAGGGGGAAAAAACAGAGTGCTGGAAGGAGAGGGATAACCCAACTAGCAGCTCTGTGATCTTTCCTGCGTCCCGTGACCTCGGCTATCAACACCTCTAAGACGAGCAGCACGATTTTCTCGGAGGGCAAACCCCTCCCTCTCTCCCATCACCCTGCCAGGCTCTGATCTGCCGCCTCTCCTGGGTCACTTTGAGGGCCTTTGGGTGTCCCTTGCTGTGGTTTCTCCCCACCAGAGAACAAGGCAAGGATCAAAGAGCCGGGATTGCCGGCCCAGCCCGTGGGGAGCTGGGAGATGAAAGCCCGGCGGCGTTGGTGGAGCCCCTGCAGCTCCTTCGGCGCTGATCTCAGGGTCTCTTTGCTAGGGGTGATGTCTTGCAAGAGTAATAACCGAGGAACCTTTTGTTTTCTCCCCAGCGCTGGAAGACGCGGGACAGCGAGGAGTACGAGGCCGAGGGTAAGGGCGAAGGGCAGCACTTGGACGTGCTCGCTGTCCTGACAGCTTTGAAGATCAATCAGAGGAGCTCATGGAGAGGGTCTCAGGCCAGCTGGGTGCATGGAGCATCCAGAGCTCAGGGAGATGCACCTAGGGGTGAAAGCTAAAGCAGGGGAGCCTCAGAGGACGCATCTTGTGCCTTCACCTCTCTGCCTTCTTCATCCTGGTGTCCCTGACCTCAGCACCCCTGTCCTGGTCTCCGCTCCTGCCCTGGGGGGTGCTGGCTGTAGTGGAGCTCGGTGGGCACTAGATGTCAGCAGGAGCCAGTTGTTGAAGGTTCCCTGGTTGTCACAGAGTCGTAAAATCATATAGTTTGGTTTGGAAGGGATCTTAAAGATGTCCAGTTCCACCCCTGCTATGGGCAGGGACACCTTCCACTACACCAGGTTATTCAGAGCTCTGTCCAGCCTGGGCTTGAACACTTCCAGGGAAGAGCTACTACCTCTCTGTGCCAGTGTTTTACCATCCTCATTGTAAAAACCTTCTTCCTTTTAATTGCTTCAACACCTCTTCTGCATTTCAGCTGCTCTCTGACTCTTACCCTATCCAAAGAGATCATGTTTTTTCTCCTAAAGCTGCTTTTCCAGCCCCAGGAGGTGACCTTGCAGCTCCCTGACCCTGGTCAGGCACTGGCACAGCTGCCCAGGGCAGTGGTGGAGTCCCCATCCCTGGGGGGAATTAAAACATGAGGATGTGGCACCTGGGGACATGGGTCAGTGATGGCCTTGGCACTGCTGGGGGAACGGTTGGACTTGATGATCTGAGAGGTCTTTTCCAACCTCAACAATGCCATGATTCTACGGACATGGGGTTCCCTCCCCTGGGGTGGGATACTTGTGGGACCAGTATCCATACCCTAAAATCCCAGCTGTGCTCTGAGCAGGGTGAGCTCAGGCAAATGATCCCACGGGATCTGATGAGCCAGGAAGGAGCTCTGCCCACCACAGCAGCAGGTGCCCTGTGACGTGCAGAACCCCCCAGGTCTTGTGGTGGCCACTCCAAAACCCGGGACCGATTTCCCATTTTCCAGGACAGCTGCGCTTCTGGAACCCGGATGACCTGAACGCCTCCCCTGGCACCTCTCCCAGCCCGGACTGGATAGAGGAGAAGCTGCAGGAGGTCTGTGAGCACCTGGGGATCACCAGGGATGGCCACCTGAACAGGAAGAAGCTGGTTTCCATCTGTGAGCAGTACGGGTTGCACACGGTGGCTGGGGAGGTGAGTGACCACCTACGGACCCTCACACCACTGCGTGTGTCTGGGGGGTTAGCATATCCCCCCAAAATCTGTCCTGGCAAACAGCTGCTTAGAAGGGACTTTCCAGCTCCAGCTCCCGATTTTCCAGCCGTATTTTTGGTGTGGTACCATCAGATGTGGGTGGCTGCTCTGGGAGGAGGCAGCTGCCAACCTCGCACCGTCGTGTGCGTGCGTCTCCTCACGCGATTGTGGAGGAAGCTGCAATTTAAAAACATTTCTTGGATTCCAAACATGTCTCCTTAATCCCAGGAATCTTCTGGCTAGGCTGTAAGATGGGTTAAATATTCATAGGTGGCTGCTTTTGACTTTGTGAAGGCCTCTGGGCTGTTTCTGTCCTGCAGCAAGAGTCCACGAGAAAATTAATCCTTTAGCAAAGAAGCCTCTTGTCAACTTAGGATTTTGTTTTATTAAAAAAAGCCAGGCTTTTTGCATCTTAAAAACAACATGGCTTGTAAGAATTCCCTCCATAAAACATGTTTCTGGGCAGGTGTTCCTTTGCAGTGTCTGCAATGAAATGTTTTCAGGGTATTAAGGCAGAAAATGGAAAAGATAAACTGGAGACAAAGAAATAGCGAGGGACTAATCTGAACATCTCCGGTCCTGCTCTTCAGAAAGCAGCACGCCCTGAAGCATAAAACAAATTTATTATAACCTTGCAGTGTCTTACTGTGGGTTTTTTGCCTGGTCACTTCAAGCTGCTGCGGGTTTGGCATCTCTCAGTGCATTGTGCTGAATTCCTGAGGTCACCCTCTCTAGGGAGCAGAATGATATGAGGCTTTTTTTTTCATGCTGCCTCATTAAATAGAGGCTCCAAGATGGTCATCGAGCTGTTTTTCGTGGTGTCTGTGTCTGCAGTTTTCCATGTGGAGGTTGCTGTACCAGCACTGGGTGATGTGGTGCCGGATAACTCCTGCTTTGCTGTTTTTAGAGCCTTGGGAATAGGATGTTTCCTCTGTGTGCCAGATTGTCACCGTGCTGGTTTGCTGATAGGTGTGATCTCTGTCTCCTTGCAGGTGCTTGAAGAGGTGCTCCACAACCTGGAGCAAGATGGGACCATGAGTGTGGAGGATTTCTTTTATGGGCTGATTAAAAACGGGAAGTCGCTGACACCCTCGGCGTCCACTCCGTACCGACAGCTGAAACGGCACCTCTCCATGCAGGTGAGGAACTGAGGGGGATCCTGGGAGAAAAGGAGGGGGAGAAGTCTTGAGCAAATCCCACTTAGCCTGTCTCCTCCTCTTCGTCAGCATTTCTCCCTGTGAGGGTCCCCCTGCCCCGTGGAGGCAGGAGGTGGTGACAGGGAGCTGCTCCAAAAGCAGATTTCAAGTTCTCTCTCAGAAAAAGCTTTTTGGGGAGGGTTGGTGGGGAGAGATGAAGCAGAAAACACCCTCATGGTGAAGGGGCAGATGGCTCTGGCAACCTGTGAAGTGCAGTAAGTAAATTTTTGTAGAGTTGTAGAATCCTAAAATGGTTTGGGTTGGAAGGGACCTTAAAAACCATCTCGTTCCACTCCCTGCCATGGGCAGGGACACCTTGCACTATCCCAGGTTGCTCCAAGTTCATCTAACCTGGCCTTGGGCACTTCCAGGGATGGGGCATCTGGTATAAACTGGATGGAGGGCGAAGTGATACCCAGGGTAGGCTGGGGGCCGTGGACATGCAGGTCCCACGTCTCTTCTCTAATTCTTATTTATTTTCTGAGAGAGAGTTTGAAATTTTCTCCCTGCCTTTGCTTGGCAGCTGAGGGCTATACCCAAAGCACCTCTGCATGTGCTCCCTGCGGCCTTTTTAGGGGAGGTTACACTCAAAACTGAAAATGAGCACTTCTGGAGCACTGGGGACAGCTCTGAGACTGCTCCTCCTTGGCTTTAGCTCAAATCCCAAGTGCCTGGTTGCGCCGCGGTGCCGTGAGGTCAGCGGGAGTGCTCCCACTGGGGGTTTGCTTGGCAGCGAGGGAAAGCCAGGCCTTAATCCTTAATCTCCTGGAGTAGGGAAATTACATTTATAAGCCCCTGTGGGCACGGGGTGGACCAGATGCCTGGCGCTGCCCATGCCCCGTCACACCCTCACCCTCTCCCGGCAGTCCTTCGACGAGAGCGGGCGCCGCACGACCACCCCCTCGGCCATGCCCAGCACCATCGGCTTCTCCCTCTTCTCCAACCTGGATGACGGGATGGGATACGGCTGCGTGGAGGGGGTCCTCGACTGCTGGCACCAGGAGGGCATAGAGAACAGCCAGGAGATCCTGAAGGTAACCACCGGCTCTGTCCCACCCCTTGGATGTGTTTTTTCCCCCCCGGTGGTGGATGCTGGATTGTAACTGAATTATTTTTTTTTCCCTTCTGAAATCCTTGGGGGTTTTTTCCCATTTAAAACTTCCCAGAGAAGCTGCCCCATCCCTGGAAGCGCTCAAGGCCAGGTTGGATGGGGCTTGGAGCAACCTGGGCTAGTGGAAGGTGTCCTTGCCCGTGGTAGGGTTGCAAGGGGATGATGATTATGGCTCCTTCCAACCCAAGCCATTCTATGATCCTATAAAAATCCCCAGTGCAGGTGACGACAGTTCTGTGAAGTTTCCAATAATTTCCTTTATGGTGCATCCCGCAGAGATGGAAGCTAATGATAAAAATACACTGTGATTTCTAGCCTAGCTCAAAGAGGTCACCTATATTTGTTAGAAAGCAATTTAATTCCTTCCCCTCCCTGAATAGCTGCACCTCTCAGCACTGGAGTGACCTGAATTATTGCTGGTGCTGAGGTGGAGGACAGCACTTGAAACCCTGCCCAGTCCTTAGTGTTGTGTCAGAGAGAGTAAAAGGGTGATGGGGTGCAAATCAGATGCCTGAATAAACCCTATCCCTGTCCATCTCCCTAGAAACTGTGGATGGGAGAAGATAATTTCCCGTGGTGGTCTCTGTTTTGAGACCCTCGCTGGGTTCCCAGCAATGCTGACTCTGTGATTCCCTTGACTCTGAATGTCCATGTGGATGTTAAACACCCAGGCTGTAGTAACCTCTGTCATTGCTCAGGCTTTAAAACTCACTTGTAGCCTGGGCTCACACAGGACAGCTTGAGAATGTTGGGACCACCTTCACCAGGCTTGTGTGTCCACCTTTACCTTCTCTTCTGCTCGTTGCTTTCCACTGACGACTCCCTTTGTTCCTGATGCCACTGGGGTGGTTTCTCCGGTGTCTGCAGGGTTTCAGCCCCACCACGAGTGCTTTGGTTTGTTCTCCTGCAGAGTTAGATTGAATCAGGAGGTCATTTAGGTTGGAAAAGACTTCTAAGATCGAGTCCAACCATCAACTGCCTGTTCACCACTAAAATATGTCCTCAAGTGCCAACGTCCATGTGAGTTTGGAATACAAAAGGAAAGACCTTTCTTCAAGGCCGGGTTGGACAGGGCTTGGAGCAAACTGGTCCAGTGGAAGGTGTCCCTGCCCATGGCAGAGGGCTTGAAATGAGACCATCTTTAAGGTGGTCCCTTCCAACCAAACCCCTCTGGGATTCCATAAAATTCCCAGCAGTTGCTGATAACTCGCTTTCTCGGAGGTGAGATCCTCGCCATCAAATCCTTCCTGCTTTTGCCTTGCCTCTGTTGCTGGTTCTGTTCAATATCAGCATCTCCCACCACTTTGTTGCAGCAGTTGCTGTTTAGGAAGGCTGGTGTCGTTAGATCCTCCAGAGAATTAGTGCCATTTCATCAGGCCTGGGCCTAATTTCCTGTTGGTCTCGCAGCTCAGCCGGGACACTTCCCATCTCCACGGCTGGCAGCGGCTCCGGAACGTCGGGAGGTGGCAGAGATGTCTGGTTTATTGCCCCGGGGGGCGTTTGTGACAGATTAATTAGCGAGCCAAGATCTCCTCCGAGCCTCCTCGTCTCATCCTGTCACTCCACATCTCCAGGCTCCCTCAGGGCAGGGAAGCTCGTTCCGCTCTAACCACGGCGTTGCTTCTGCAGGCTTTGGACTTCAGCTTGGATGGGAAGGTGAACCTGACGGAGCTGACGCTGGCACTGGAGAACGAACTCCTGATCACCAAGAATGGGGTCCACCAGGCAGCTCTGGCGAGCTTCAAGACGGAGATCAGGCACCTCCTGTGAGTCACGGGCATCGCCCGATGCGCTGCTCCGTCGGGCCAAGCGGGAGCTGAAGGGGCAGCTGAGGACTGGTGGTGTGGACGTGGCACTGGAAGGCTCAGTTCTCTCTTAGATTGCTCCCAAACTTCCAGCTGTCTCTTTTTTTTTTTTTTTTTTTAAAAACACTCACCCCCAAGGATTGCAGAAAAATATAGTTGAAAAATGAAAAAAAATGAAAGCAGGATGTTGTTCCCAGTCTGGGAACAGTCTGGAGGTGGTCACTGCTATCCCCAGTGGTCATGGATGGCTAAAGAATGCACAGCATAGGACAGAGGCAGTTTGTTGTCAGTACCTTTAATCCAAACTTGCATCCCAGAGCTTTTACCCTGTGATACCCATGAGGGGCAGGTACAGAGTCACCGTGCAACCCCCCTTTTTTCATTAGAAAGTCAACACAGTTTGACTTTCCACTGGACCTGCCGTGCAGGTTTCTCTGTTGAGAGAGTGTGGGAGATGGAAAACGTTGCCCTGTATGTATATTTATTAATTTATAACTATATATATATGTATTACTGAAGCTCAAATCTTCCCACACACCAACTGATTATCTTGTCCACCCCACTTTGGGGACCCTGGTTTTAAACACTGCACCCTCAGTTTTGTGTGGATTCACTCCTGTTTTGATTGTTGCATCCATCTGCCACACACACAGCTCCAGCTGTTTGGGGTGTTTTGTTTGTGCTGCAAACCTTTGAATAGTTTAGAGATTCAGGATATTCATATGAAAGGCTGAGGGAGCTGGGGGTGTTCAGCCTGAAGAAGAGAAGGCTCCAGAAAGATCTTTAAGCCCCTTCCAGTGCCTAAAGGAGCTCCAAGAGAACACCAAGAGGGACTTTGGACAAGGACCTGAAATGACAGGACAAGAGGGAATGGCTTCCCACTGCCAGAGGGCAGGGAAAGATGGGATATTGGGAAGGAATTGCTCCCTGTGAGGGTGGGGAGGCCCTGGCACAGGTTGCCCAGGGAAGCTGGGGCTGCCTCTGGATCCCTGGAAGTGTCCAAGGCCAGGTTGGACAAGGCTTGGAGCAACCTGGGCTAGTGGAAGGTGTCTCTGTTCATGGCAGGGTGTTGGAACTGGATGATCTTTAAGGTTCTTTCCAACCAAATTATTCCAGAATTTAATGAATTTGGGAAGCTTGAGGTCTCAGAACCTATGGGGATATTAAGACACGTCTGGAGCTGTGGGTGCAAGTTCAAATCTAGTGACTAAATGCAGCTGATAAGACCCGTGGGGAGCTTTCCGAGCTGTTCTTCTCCCCCAGAAAACCTCTTGGGGGAACAGCGAGTGGTGACCTTAACCCAGGATGGCTCTGCTTTCCCCTAGGGAGAGGTTTGACCAAGTGGCCAGGGAGAAGGAGAAGCTGCGTTCGGACTTGGAGAAGGCCGAGAAGCTGAAATCCCTGATGGCCTCGGAAGTGGACGATCACCACGCCGCGATCGAGCGCCGCAACGAGTACAACCTCAGGTGTGGTGTCCCAAACGAGCCTTCCCCTGCTCCAGGCACAGGTAGTGCCTTCACCCCCAGCAGTGTTTGCCACCTCCTTCTTCTTCTGACAAGCTCTTCTCGCCCCCGGTGCCTTCGCAGGAAGCTGGACGAGGAGTACAAGGAGCGAATCGTGGCTCTCAAGAATGAGCTGCGCAGAGAGCGGGAGCAGATCCTGCAGCAGGCCAGCAAACAGAGGCTGGAGCTGGAGCAGGAGATTGAAAAGCTGAAGACGGATGAGAATTACATCCGAGACCGCCTGACCCTGGCCCTGAAGGTAACGGGGAACCCAAGAGTCGGGGTTTGCCCCGAAAGGGAGGGATGTCCTGAGCGGGGAGCGATGCCTGGGGAGGGGATGTGTTTTATGGTGTGTGTTGGGCTGGCCAAAAGGAGTTGAAGCAGCAAGATAGACATGTGTCTGTGAGAATTGGTTTTTGGGTCACCTCCATGGGCTGTTCCTTGGATTCTTAAGGCTCCAGTTCATATCTCTGCTGCCATCAAGTGCAGAGCCCGTGTGTGCACGGCTGCCTTGCTGGATCTTTTTCCGTCCAGCCAGGAGATAAAACACCTTGACAGTGGTTAAAATGCTGCTTTAAAAACAAATTTTAAAAAGCCCCAAACATCTAAAGCAAACTTTCTGTTATGCCTTTTGATCCTTTGCACAAATCCAGCGTTCACACTTGCTGTGGCAGGAGTGGGTTGTGTGCACGTGGATTCGTAATCCCCATCTTTGGCTGAAGCTTGGAGCAGTGTCATGCTCAAGCTTGACTGGGAGTAGTAACTCTTTTTTTTTTTTTTTGAGTGAGTTAACATAAGCTTTTATTTTCCTCCTCCAAATGCTGAGGCTGTTGTTTGTTGGGGGGGTGTCTTTGTTTGGCCCAGGAAAACAGCCGCCTGGAGAGCGAGCTACTGGAAACGGGAGAAAAACTGGCCGAGTGTGAAAGTTTGGCAAGCAAGCTGCAGAGGAACTTGGAAAACGTCCTGGCTGAGAAGGTAAAACCTCCTTTTCCTGGTGGGATTCCAGATTTAAATCCCTTTTTAAGTTCCTACATCCGAGGTGCCAGTTGAACCGACAGCCACAGGCTCCTGGGGTCCTTATCCAGGTGGGACCAAACCTACCTCGGTGACATGGATTGCCTTCCAGCTACAGGAATTAAAGATGCTCCACCTTAGCTGTAATTTTACTCTAATTAAAGTAGGAAGCTTTAGAATGAAGCAATCATCCTGTAGATCTGCAGGGATTTTTTTTTTTTTCCCCTCAGTGCAAAATTTGGGATAACATGCAGGTCTTTTCCAGGGAAGTGGATCCTTGAGGAGTTAGGTATTATATGGCACCTCTGCTGAAATGATGTGAAAATCAAGGTGAAAGGCTGATCATGGCTGTGTTACTTTTAAACTCATCAAAGGATCAGCTTCTCCAAAGGCATTTGAGTTTGTGCATCCATAGACAAACATTCATACTCTGGGATTCCCACCCAGCATCCGTTCTCCAGACTTCTTGAAAGTTGGAGATTATTTATTGCCCAGAGGTGTGCCTATGCTAAACTGGAAAACTGAAATCAGAGGGAGCACGAGAACTGTGCTGGCAGGCAGTGTTTTGAGGGAGGTTGCTCATTGTTTCCCCCCTAGCAGGGAAATAGTTTCTTTATGTAAAATGAGAAATAGGAGAGGAGGGAGCATAGGCTGTGGGAATGGCATCCACGCTGGGCTGAGCAGGGCTGGTTGGTGGGTGAGCAACTGGATCCCATTCCTGTGTTTCAGTTTGGTGACCTGGATCCCACCAGTGCAGAGTTTTTCCTGCAGGAGGAGAGACTGGCCCAGATCAAGAGCGAGTACGAGCAGCAGTGCAGAGTAAGTGGAGCCCAAAGCTGAGACCTGACCCCCTTCTGCACCCAGACTATCACAGGATCATTTAGGTTGGAAAAGCCCAACCCTACCCCCAGCACTGCCAAGGCCACCACTAACCCACATCCCCAGGTGCCACATTCTCACTGCAAACAGCAGCTCGGAGGGGCTTGGAAAGCTCTTCCCATGGAGGCAACTGGCTGAGCTGAAGAGGAGGAGGTGTCCCAAGGGTGGGCTTGGGAGAAGGGTCTGTGGAGCCCTATGAAGTCAGAGTTGCAGGAACTTGCAGCAGAAATCAGATACATCCACATCTTGCTGGTTTCCAAACCACTGGTATCTTATTAAAATGAAACTGAGCATGGAAAGTTTGTCTTCTCCCCCCTCCCCCACCACAATCTTATGTGGCTGAAAGACTTCTTCAAGGTGAGCCTGCAGGTTTATCTATTTTTACACACCTACTTTCTGATGCCTGCAGTGGTACCACCTCACCTGTTGCCCAGAGAAGCTGTGGCTGCCCTTGGATCCCTGGAAGTGTCCAAGGCCAGGTTGGACAGGGCTTGGAGCAACCTGGGCTAGTGGAAGGTGTCCCTGCCCACGGCAGGAGATGGAACAAGATGGGCTTACAGGTCCCTTCCAACCCAAACCAGCCTTGCATTTTGTGGTTCTGTGATCTGTTCTGCATGATCCTTTTCATTTAATAAAGGGCTGCCTTGGCCCAAGGCTGTCTGGTCAGAAACAGCTTTCCTGGGAAGTCGCAGTTTACAAGCGAAAATCGTCTAGGAATAGGTGTTGGGTTGAGACTTCCTGATACTCAGCTTATTCCTCTGTTTTTGAGTAGGGCAGATAGAAATCACCACCCAAGGTTTGCTTTCTGAGCCTTTCAGCTCTGCAGAGTTCTGTGTTTACACATTCAGGGAGTTATTTCCCTCAATAACTGCTGTTCACGGAGCGGAGTGCACGGCATTTGGCACAAACACTCGGGATGTTCTGCTGGCAGAGGGGCAGAAGTGCCAGATGGTAAATGCAGTAATGAGGGGATCTCATTCCTGATTTGATCTTTTGCTTCTGATTTGATTTTCTTTTTTTTTTTCCCCCCAAGTAGATGGTGTTTGAGGAGGTATTTCTTGGCTGTTTGTAAAGGTTCCTGCTGTTTAGTAAAAGGTCACAGGAAGAAGGAATCAAGTGAAAGGTGCCTGGAGCACGATACACTTTCACCTTTGGGAATTTTGCATCACAGAATCATCATAGAGTCCCAGAATGGTTTGGGTTGGAAGGGACCTGAAAGCTCATCTCATTCCACACCCTACCCTGGGCAGCGACACCTTCCACTAGCCCAGGTTGCTCCAAGCCCTGTCCAACCTGGCCTTGGACACTTCCAGGGATCCAGGGGCAGCCACAGCTTCTCTGGGCAACCTGTGCCAGGGCCTGCCCACCCTCCCAGCCAGCAATTCCTTCCCAATATCCCATCTCTCCCTTCCCTCTGGCAGTGGGAAGCCATTCCCCCTTGTTGTTTCACTGATAGGAGGATGACTGTGGCACAATGGATTATTGACAAGTCTTTCCCTACTGTAATTCCCACCTAAGTGGGAACGGGTTGATGGGTTGGAAGCTCAGCTGCTTTGGTTCCTTTCACTCAGATTTCCTTTTCCTCCCCCTCAGGAGCTGCAGGACCAGATTGATGAGCTGCACTCGGAGCTGGAGGAGTACCGGGCCCAGGGCAAAGTGCTCAGGCCTTCCCTGAAAAATTCCCTGTCGGAGGAGTTTGAGATCGACATGAAGAGTCACGGCAACAGCGGGATTGAGCCTGACCAAGGTAAAGAACAGCTCCTGCAGGACCAAGGGCTGCGTTGTAGGCGTTTATGGTAACATCTTGGAGGCAGTTCCATAAAAACCTTCCCCAGTGAGACTTGATCAGCACCTCTGTTTTGACATTTGATGTTCATTTGGAATATGGCTGCTGGGTGATGTTTAAAGCCGAAATTAATATTTGCAGTCACTTGTCTGTGCGTGTGGTGGGAATCTGAGAGCTGCAAGTGGCTGCCCAAACAAATTTAAATGGATGAAATAATTCTGTAGAAAATGATATATATATTTATATAGTATATGAGTAACGTTTTTATACTGATATAAGTTATTGTTATCTGATTTTTATTTCTAAAGGACTCGGTTCAGAAGACTGTAACCCGTTAAATATGAGCATAGAGGCAGAAATGGCTATTGAGCAAATGAAGGAGCAACATCACAGGGATCTCTATCACCTCAAACAGGAGCTTGAAGACACGGTAAGTGCTGGAATGAGATGGTCTTTAAGGTCCTCTCCCACCCAAACCGTTCTGGGACTCTCTGATAAATAAAATATAAACAAAAATAAACAAAGCTTTGCAGGGGAAATCAACATGAGATGCTGATGTGTAAATCAAAGGGTTCAGTAAAGTGTACATGTAAAACTATAAGATGGAAATATTGAGGGGAAAACATCTCTGTAGGATACTCTGTGGGAAATTAATTAATCCAACCTGTTCTCCTTTCGTAGGTGAGCCATTATGAAAAGCAGCTGGACGAGACAAAAGCCCACTGGGAGAAGGAGCAAGAGGACCTGAGGAAGAAGCACTCCCAAGAGATGAATGCCATGGAAAAGCAGATCACTGGCCTCAAAACTCAGATAGCAGAGCTGCAGGGAGAGGCAGCAGCGCTCAGGGAGCAGCAGGAGGAGCTCGACCGCAAACACAGCGACGAGAAGAACAAACTGCAGATGCGCTTCGAGGAGGAAAAGGCCAACCTGCAGGAGCTGCTGAGGCAGGAGCACGAGGAGGACGTCAGAGCCAGGCTGGAGCAGCTGAACGAGAAGTTCAGCTCAGGAGCGGGAAGAGCTGATCCAAAACGGCGTCTGGGCGGAGGAGAAGACGCGAGTCCTGGTGCGGACGCTGCAGGAGGAGAAGGGGGAGCTGGAGCGCGGCTTCCACGAGCAGCTGAAGAGGCTGGCAGAGGTGCACGCCCTGGAGAAGGAAGAGCTGCAGCAGGAGCTGCTGAGGAAGCACGAGCAGCAGCTGGAGGAGGAGAGGTGAGTGTCAGGCGGGTGGGGATGGTCCCCCATGGCTTGGTGTGGTGGCCAAGGCGGGCCCGGTGCAGATGAACCCGTGACGTTTAATTCCGAGCGTTCTGACCGCACGCTGTTGTTCCCTGTTCTGTTCCACAGCGCTGGGCTGCTCACCAGGGGTTTTTCTTCCTTCTGACCTTTCTCAAGCAGATGTTTATGTTGATTTTTAGCTTGCCCAGAGGCAGTGATGGTGTTGAAGCACAACCAGGCGTGATTAACTTGTGGTCTGTTCAGGATCCCTGGGCTTTACAAATCCTCCTAAAACATTTGGGGTTTCAGAGTTCTTTGCTGAAGAAGGAAAGGGATGGCTGAGAAATGCCTTTTTTTTTAGCAAACATCACGTGTCAAAAGCAACTGAAACCATCCTGGGGTGACGAGGGAGATGAGGGTAAAAACATCTACCCCCACAAATCTGAGCAGAGGAACAAAAGGGGCACACAGTGCCCATGAAACCTTTTCTGAGGACATTTCAGGAGTTTTTACACTTTCCCAAACCTTTTCCTTTTTGAAGTTTCACCAAATAGCCTCAGTTTTAACTTTAGCTCTCAGAAACACCCGTGCAATAGTGTGAAACTCAGTGAAAAAGAGATTTTTCCAGCTCGTTTTAGTCAAAAAGCCATTTTTGAATCTCTTTGAGGTCGCCCAAAGCTTAGTAATATTTTATATTAACCACGTTTAGGAATAAAATGGCAAGTGACTATAACAGAAGAGCCTCTCATGCACAAAGCCAGTTTTCAGTGGACACACAAACACTTGTGAGCAAATATGAAGAAACCCTGCAGAGCCTGGAAGGTCGGTACCAGCGGGAGCTGCGTGAACTTGCCGAGCAGCGGAGGGAGGAGAAATCCCAGTGGGAGTTCGAGAGGGATGAAATCGCTCAGGAGGCGGCTGAAGCCCACGAGCACCTGAAGGAAAGCCTGGCAAAGGAGAAGGCTGTTTCTTCTGCCCTGAGCCAGGAGAGGGATCTGCTGGAGAAGAACTTCAAGGAGGAGGTGAACAAGCTGGTGTGCGAGAGGGAGCAGCTGGAGAAGGAGCTGCGAGACCTGAGGAGCGCTGCCGAGGAGCAGGAGGAAAAACTGAGTGGGAAAATAGCCCAGCTCCAAAACGACCATGAAAAAGAGCTAAGGGACAAAGATGAGTTAATATCCATGGTGGAGGAAAATGGCAAGCTGGTTAGGCAGAAGCTGGAGAGACTGGACAGTGAGTATAAGCAGGAGAAAGAGGAGCTCAACTCCAGACTTCTTGCTCTGGAGAGTTTAAACAAAGACATTTGTGCAAGGGCAGAGACAGAAAAGGCAGAGATGAGCTTGGAAATCTCAGCCCTTCGAGGGAAAATCCAGAAACTGCAGTGGGAGGCGCGTGGCTTTTCCGCCCTGCGGAGCCACTACAGGGCCCTGGAGAGCAAGTACGCAAAAGCCAAGAGCAAAATTGCTTCTTGCCCTGGTACAGCAGCTCTGGGGGATGATGCAGAAGTTCTCCAAAACCTGCAGAAGGTGCACGAGCAGGCTGTGAAGGAGAATGTCAGGATGGCTGCCCAGATCCTCAGACTGCGGCACCGGCTCCGAGCTGCGGAGCGGGAACGACCTCCCAGTCCCGGCTGCTCCGACTCTGGCTCAGAACCAGAGGGAACAGATCCCAGTTTTGAAGGGTTGCCCAGTGATTGTCAAGATGCAGAGAAGGGAATGGATTCCAATGTCCTTCTGCCTTTGGAGGGTGATAGTACAGACCTGGAAGATCTGACGGAGGTGGATTCAGATTTGGAGGAAGGACGTGCGAAAGCCGGAGCAGGTGACAACTCACTCAGGGCACAGGGGTGTTGGATACAAGGAAGTGAAGCAGCTCAGGATGCTGATGGCAATGAGGATTGTGACAGGGACCGAGAGCTGCCTTCATGGGTGCCTCTGCTGCCAAAACAGAGGGATCTCGAGAAAGTTCCCAGAGCAAAAATGCTGCCCAACGATGTTAAACTGCAGAAGGTTCCTCTGCTAAATGGCAGAATAGCTCCCAAAAATAAAGGATTTGTTTCTGATGCTTTGAAGCTGCAGGTTGAGCTTGAAAAGGCTGAAGAACTGAGTGAAGCCTCTTCCCTGTCGGATCACGCTCCTGGATCAACAAATGGTGACCTGAAGAGTGTTATAGCTCAGCTTTGGGAAAGGGTCGAAGAGTTGGAAGACAGATCCATGGCACAGGCTGAGCTTCTGTCACTACAGGAAGAAATTCAGGTGGAAAACGAGGATCTGAAAGCTGAAATGATACAGTTAATTGAAAGGAATAAAGTGCTAGAAGACAACCTGCAAAGGCTGAGAAGCCTTCATTGCAGACGGGAAGAAAGTGAGCTGGAAAGCATCAAGTTCAAGGAGGAAAACACAGAGCTCCTCCAAAACATCACGGAACTGGAAGGTGTCCAAGAACAAAGCCCTCAAGGAAGCACAGATCTGCACAGTGACACAGGAGATGGGAAGCAGGAAGAACATCCCCCAGCGTTCCCAGGTCAGCGAGACGATTCCCGAAGCAACGGCGCGGCGAGAGGAGCGTTGGCGGAAAAGAGGGAGCCACGGGAGCCCGACCAGGAGGAGAGAGCGGCTGCTCTGGGTGTCCCAAACTGCGAGGGCGAGGAGAGGAGCGTGGTGACGCAGGGCCTGCAGAGCACGTGCACTGAACTGCAGCAGAAGGTCGATCTCCTGAGGTAACGTAGCCTCGCGGCGCCGCTAACCCGACGCGCCGTAGCCGCACTAACCCCGATCCCGCCTGGCGCTCCGCACGGCTCCCGCCTTATTAACCACTCTTAGTCTAACTCTCGAGTAGCAATCAGTGCCACGGACTCCTAACTCCTCTAATCCTGGATAACCACCGTTGGAACACGTAAATAAATAAATGAATGCGCGTGGCTTCTCTCCCTGACCACGACCTAACCCTGAGCGGTGAGACCAGGAACGACCTGCCGAGCTGTCCCGTGGATGTGGTCACCATTGCAGTGTGTAGCTCATCAAACCCCCGTGTTTCCGTGCCCAAAATCCATGGTAACACTTCCAGAATGCTTTTAGCTCGTACTAATATCACTTTGCTCCGTTTGTTCCCTCCTAGTCCTGAGAGTTGCTGGGAATGATGAAATAGCTCCTATTTTTCGCAGCATTTCACTTTAATGCTTAGAAAATTACGGTACTTTGAAATGCCAAAAGGGCTTCTGTTTTCCCTCAATATTTAAGCCAATGCAAGAGAATTATAGTGACTTTTTTTTTTTCCCCAATGAGGTGTTTGATATGGTAAATACCATTATAACACAGAGAATATCATAGGTTTTACTTACTTGTTTGTAAGTGCTGTATTTCAGCAAGGATTTTAAATTTTTTTTAATGGATAAAGTGGCTACAAGCAGATTAATTATTTTTCAGCACCAGCTTCCTGCAGGAAATTGTTCTTTCAGGTGCTGTGCAATGGCTGAGTTATTTCTGTGCAGTCGCCTGAGGACAGAAAAGACCCTTTCCATCAGTGCAGTTCCCAGAATTCTGAGTTCCAGTTGGGGAAAACAACTTGCTCTCCTGGCAATCTGCATATTGTGGCGTGAAGTTATTTATATCTTAAGGACTGAAAGATACAGAAGCTTTTTAGATTTTTAACTGTACAAAAACATGCCCCAAAAAGCCCCCCTTTTTTAACCAACCGGGGAGCGCTCTTATTGAAGAAATGTGAGGTATGAATATACCATTTATACTTAAAATGAGTCTGCTGCAGCTTTATTTTGAAGCATTACAGGTATCTTGGGCCTGGGGGACGTTTTTTCCTCCCTGGATTTTGGTTAGGCAGGAACTGCTCTCATCGTCTCCTCTCTCCGCCCCAGGTGCGAGGCCGAGAAGCTCCGGGAAGAAAACGCCGTCCTGAAAAACGAAGTGACTTTGTTGAACGAGGAAGGAAGCGCTTCCAGCCTGAAACTGAGGGAGCTCAACGGATCCAGGGAGGAAATGAGGTGAGAATTCCCTGGGGGAGCACGTACCCTGTGGTGCCCTCAGGCTGTTGGTGCAGTAGAGTGGGTTTATCCCTCCTCTCCGAGCTCCTTCACGTGTGGGATATTCTCACAAATGGGCTTATTTGGTGGCGCTGTTGGAAAGGCTGTTCCTCATCCTTTTCCCTGCCCATTCCTGGCAGCCAGGATTTAGCTTTAGGCATTGAGATGACCCAGTAACACCCACAGGCACAGGAGCTGCTTAGGAGCTGACCTGATGCCATTATTTGTGCTCCAGCCAAGGCAGGGGAGGGCGCACGTGGCAGATCCTTCCAGTCATTTGGTCTCCGAGGAGCGCAGAACCATCCGGGATCCTGGGATTGCTCTTCCCTTCTCTAGAATAAAGACCTCCATGGGGCACCTTGAGGGACTGAGTTCCTGCCAAGCTTACTCAAAGCAGTGATGCTGAGCAATAAATAAATAAATATCCAGAACTGGCATTTCTGGCGATGCTAAAAAACAGCTCGTTCTTAGCATGGTGGAATCATTAAGGTTGGAAAAGACCTCCAAGGTGTCATCAGGTCCAACCCATTAACCCAGCACTGCCAGGTCCACCACTAAACCTTGTCCCCAGGTGCCACATCCATGTGTTTTTGGAGCACTTCCAGGGATGGGGACTCCACCACTCCCCTGGGCAGCCTGTGGCAGGGCTTGACAACCCTTTCAGTGAAGGAATTTTTCCTGCTATCCAACCACAACACAACTTGAGGCTGTGTCCTCTTGTCCTATCTTAATTAATATATTAACAAGTGTTAACAATATTTTAACATTAATGAGCTTTTATTTTTTTTCCTTAGGCAAAAGATAGAGGCCGTGAGGAAGGAGAAAGTGGCTGTACAGAAGATGGTTGAGAACCTGAAAAAGCAGGTGGGTGCTCAGAACCCAGAACCTTCTCTCTAGAAACCATCACTGCATAAAAACTGTTCCTTGGGTGGTCAGAAAGTTGGCAGAAAACCACCATTTTATAAATGTAAACTTTGATAACTGTCCTTATTATCTCCCTGGGGTTGGTTTGAGGCTTGTTTGACCTGCTCAGAACACAACAGCTGTAATTACCCAGCTCACAGGCAGCCCTTTCCAAAGTCAACTTGGAAAGTTTATTTCGTAGAAACACAAAGTTTAAATCTTTGGTTTGCAGCCTTTGTGGGTAATGCTTTGCAGTAGCAAATGGAAGATGATGGGAAATGGAGATGATGTGACTCAGCCTCTGCTTGTTTCCCAGCTGGCTGGGTCCAGGAATGCTGCCAGCTGTTGTTATCCATGGGATTGCTGCTTTTATTTTAAGGGTGGTTTGTTCTGCTGGCCAAACTAGAAGGCTTAAGTAGCTTTTACATTCATGTCCCCCTCTCAGTATTGCTGAGGGAAATTCTTCTTAGAATAACCTCCTAGGACAACCCTCAAAATCCACATCAGCTGGGGTGCTGTGCTGGGTGACTGATATAATTGGTCTAATTAAGGCCAATTAACTGGTCAGAGTCACTGCTGGAGTGACACTTGGCAGATCTTTAATCACCCCAATAGAAAGGAGATGTTAAAGACCTCGTTCCCAGTGGAAAATCAGTCATAGCTGACACTGCTGTCCCCCCCCCCCACCTCAGGTGGCAGATCTGAAGACCAGGAACCAACAGCTGGACTCTGAAAATACAGAACTGAGCCAGAGGAACTCCAAAAATCAAGCAGATGTGCAGGATCTTAATCAGCAGCTGGCAAGGGTGCTGGAGCAAAAGGAGAGGGAGGAGGGAAAGTGTACCCTGGAAGAATGGGAAAAGGAGAGACTGGTACTGAAACAGGAACTGGAAAACTCCAAAATAAAGGTACAGGATTATACTGGGACAATTGGACTTCCAATTGGAATGGGCATCCCTGTCTTGGGATGGGGGTGGGGGGGTTCAGAGCTGAACTTTGCTAAGTTCAGGGGCAGGAAGAAAAGCCTGGCAGCAGCCAAAAGCCAGGAGGTGAAAGTGTGCAGGTTGGCCTAGAAAATGATGCCAAATGTTTCCCTGCACTCCCCAGCATGGCTGTTGAGTTCATCCAGTGCCACCCCAGCTCTGTCCACTCTCACTGGCTGCAGCATCCTCTGCTTGGCCCTTGGTGCTCTGTGAGTCTCCTGAATTGAAATCTGAGCCCTTTTCTTCTTGCAGTCCTCAAATCTGGTGTCGTCTTTGGAGATGGAGGTGTCCAAGATGAAGGTTCAGGCTCATCTGATGGAGCAGGAGAACCACATCCTCAAGCAGGAGCTGGAGAAGACAAAACAGGTATGGATGGCATCCTATTGCCCAGAGGAGCTGTGGCTGCCCCAGCCCTGGAAGTGTCCAAGGCCAGGTTGGACAGGTTGGAGCAACCTGGGCTAGTGGAAAGTGTCCCTGCCCATGGCAGGGGGTGGAACGGGATGGACTTTAAGATCCCTTCCAACCCAAACCATTTTGTGATTCCATTTGAGTGCTGTCAGATAATTCTCACCATCTCTGGGTCGAGAAAAGTTTATTTCCTTAAGGAAAGGTCATAAAAGTAAAGGAATGTGACTCCTCTTGAAGCAGTGTCACTGAAACAATGCACAGTTGTTCAAATAAGGTTGGGCTCACTTAGGCTTTGCCAAAAGATGTTTTTTTTGGGAGTGGTGGATCTACAGGGAGAAGCTTTGGTAAGCACAAAGATTTAAAGCTCTGGTCAAGGAATAGAGAGGGCAAATGGGATCCACAGGAGAACATTTCCCTGTGTAATTGGTGATATCCATTTAAGGGCTGAGCTCTTCCAGAATGTCCTCTCAGAGAGGATTCCCGTTGCTAAATCCATCTGGAGATAATGGGTGGAGATAATTTCCTGGAGGGCTCAGTTATCTCCTGTGTAAGCACAGTTCAACTGGCTGTAAATAGGTGCTAATAAACACAGATAATGAAGGCTACAAATGAGCCACCTCCCTGATCAGGGCTCCACAAAGCCATTTTCTGGGCAGTGCAAACCACTCATTTTGAGACACCCAGTGCTCAGGGTAGGTAATGGTCTTAAAAAGCAAAAGCAGCTGAGGCCTGTTCAGTAATGAGTGAGTTGTGGCTGGATGGAATTACAGGCAGGAGATGGAGTGAGGGAAGGCAGGAGAGCCTGGGAGAAGGCAGAGTGCTCAGTTGGGAAAAGGCTCAGAAGTCAGGAGTACAGTGGTTTTCCCTCCATGTATTTTAAGACATGTCCATTTAGATTAATTATTAGGGAGAAATTGTTCCCTGGGAGGGTGGGCAGGCCCTGGCACAGGTTGGCCAGAGAAGCTGTGGCTGCCCCTGTGTCGTGGTTTTGCAACTGTGAGGGGTTTGCTTTCCCACAGCTGCCCAGGTGCCCTGATCTCTCTGACCTCCAAAATGAAGTTTCGAACTTAATGACGAAAAATGAGAAGCTGCAGAAGGAGAAGGAAGCCCTGAGTGAGGAACTGAACAGATGTATTGATAAGGTAAGAGAGCTGCAAATCCACATCTCTTAAAATTCTTGTGTCTTTATGTATCACCATCGCATGTAAAACTACTTTGGATCATTTTTTTCCCTTACCCTCAAGCCAGATAAAGGCTGAATTACCACTGCCTGATTTTTTATTTTTATTTTTTTTCCCCTAGCTGGTCTGAGAGAGGAAAGCTTAAATTCTGGAGCACAGCTTTACTGTAATTTAATTGTGGAGAAAATTCCAAACGTTGCAGTGAAGAGAGGCCTGGGTATAAATACTGCAGCAGGACAAGGGAGACAGTGTTCTTGGACTTTTATTTACAGCTTTAACACACTGTAACTCTGCACTTGGGCAGAGTAACTCATGTGCAACGCTGTAAATAACGATCCTGTTGTGTGGAAATTCAGGCTGGGAGCTTGAGGGGTTTTTTTTTGTCTGCATGCTCTGCGTGGCTGTGACTCCCTCTGGGTTAACCCTCAAAGTCGAACTGAGTGAGGGAAAATCCTGAGTGAGGCTTCCCCGTGTCATCTCCTTGCAGGTGGCTCAGGTCAGCTGCTTGGAGAGTGCAGTTGGCAGCTTGAAGCAGGAGCAGAAATCCTGGGAGCAGCAGAGTCAGGCACTGAAAGCACAGCTCACCATCTCCCAGGAAAAGGTACAAAACAGTGATTTGTTTGTTTGTTTGTTAAAGCCCCAGTTAAAAAGCATTTTGATCACCTCTCCTGGTGCTTTCTTTTCACTAAAACCCCTTTCTGATGTGTGCAAAGGTGCGGAGCTGCTTTGATGGGCTTGCAAAGTGATGTTCCTAAAGGACAAGAGGAAGCTCCTAAATGGAACAAGGGACTTTTCCTCCCTGCTCTCAAAAAAAAAAAAGTGATGCTGTTTTGCATCCACAGCCAAGTTACTTTTGCCAATTCACTCTGCCTGGTTGCTCCTAAAATACTGCAGAAACTCTGCTCCTGCTCTGCTGGTGCAGGAGAGAGGGGTGTGATTATCTGGCTGCTTGGCTGAGCATTCCTGGGCTGCCAGGGAAGAATAAATAATTCAAGGGAAATCTTCTCTTCCAGCACATCCCAGCAAATGTTCAGGGCTGGAAGGTGTCTCTGTTAAATGCAGCCTTGTGTCTGTATGCAAAGTGGATGGCTGCTAACCTGGAACAGAAAGTTGGAAAATCATTTGGAATGATAGGGTTGTAAGGCTGGAAAAGCCCTCTAAGATTGAGTCCAGCCATTCCCCAGCACTGCCAAGGCCACCACTGACCCCAAGTGTCCCCAAGTGCCACATCCGCACAGCTTTTAAATCCCCCCAGGGATGGGGACACCACCACTGCCCTGGGCAGCTGTGCCAGGGCTGGACAACCCTTTCCACAAGGAAATTTCCCCTAATATCCCAATCTAAACCTCCCCTGGTACAACTTGAGGCCATTTCCTCGTGTCCACTTGTTCCCTGGGAGCGGAGCCTGACCTCCCACTTGTCTCCACCCTCCTGTCAGGGAGTTGGAGACAGAGACTCCAATTTACCGTTTCCAAAGGGGGTTGTCAGCGTTGTACCTTCGCTGCTTCCATCAGAGATCCCAAACACGTGTGCCACCCGGTCCACACACGAGAGATCTTGGCCCAGCAAAGCTGATTGCTGCTCGTTGCAGGTGCAGAGCCTCGATGAAACCCTGCAGAGCACCAACCTCCAAGTGTCCCGCCTGAAATCCGACCTGCGGGTGACGCAGCAGGAGAAGGAAGCCCTGGAACAAGAGGTGGTGTCGCTGCACAAGCAACTGCAGAGCACCAGCGAAAAGGTAAAGGGCTTCAGGGGCCTCAAAAGATAACTGCAGTTATTGTATATGGTATATAATGTGCAGATTTTAAACTGACTTTTAGAAAACTTTCTATTTTAAGTGTCGAGTGTAAAGGTCAATCTGAGTTTTGCCATCCTTCCCTGAAAGAAACCTTTTGGCAAAAAATAAAACCCCATTTCTGTGGGTGATGTGTGAATTTGCACCTATCAGCTATAAAAGTTAACAAACTAATCGACTGAGGATCTGATTTCCAGTCCAGCTTAGGTTTGAAAGGTAGAGAATTACCCCGGCCTCTCTGAACCAGTGAGGGTCTGTAACTGGAGGAGGTTGTAGACAGCAGTCTTGGGATTGGTATTATGGATTTAGTTGGTAATTTGGCTTCTTTGCCGTGTAATTAAGGAATATTTAATGTCCACGTGGAGAAGAGGCTGTTTCAGAATCATACAAGAAGAACTAAATTATAACTGAGTAATAAATAATACTGAGCCCAGTTTTGCTCCAAACAGAGCACAGATTGCTGCTTTTTTTTTTGTGGTGCTGAACTCTGTGCCCTTGTTCTGCACTGAGTTATTACCCACGATTTCAGTGAAGGGAAGCACTTGGGCTTTGCACGTTGGGGTTTCTTAGGAGAAAACTCTGTAGGCTGGGAGGAAAAACGGGAATCCTGCGACTTTTAGAGCCTGCAGGTACCAAAGGTCTCCTTAAAACCCTCCTGAACAGAGGAAATATCTGCTTCTTTGTTTTAAGGCCTAACCCTGCAATTCTGTCTGTCTTAAGAACCGGGTTCTGGAAGGGGCTGTGCCTTCCCCAGGGCTGCAGGACCAGCGGGGGCCGATGCGCTGGGAGGAACCGGAGGAGCAGCCGATGGATCGGGAGCAGGGCCTGCTCAGGCAGGAGAACGAGAGGCTGCAGAGGGAAGTGCAGAGCACTAAAACAGACCTGGCTCACTCCAGGGAGAAGGTAACTGGAGCAAGGGGGGGACAGATCACAGAAGGGCCGGGGTTGGGATGGAATTCTGGAGATCACCCACCTGCTCTAGCAGGTTGATCCAGAGCAGGATCACATCCAGGCAGGTTTTGAGTATCTCCAGAGAGGGAAACTCCACAGCACTCTTAGGGTATTTCTCTTCTTTAAAAGAAAATCTTGTTAATTCTGGTCTGACTCCCAGTTAACACCCTTTCATTTTTTTTCTTTTAAGAAAAGATTCTTAATATTCCCAGCGTTCTTGTGTGATTTCTTGGTTCACGGTAATAGGCAGATTATGGGGGGGAGGAAGGGAAAGAAGGAAAGGGAAAGAAGGAGAAGATGCTCAAAGCTCAAATGTCAGAAGTACCCCAGATTTGCCCAGAGAAGCTGTGGCTGCCCCTGGATCCCTGGAAGTGTCCAAGGCCAGGTTGGACAGGGCTTTTGGAGCAACCTGGGCTAGTGGAAGGTGTCCCTGCCCATGGCAGGGTTGGAACAAGATGGTCTTTAAGGTCCCTTCCAACACAAACCAGTCTGTGATTCGGAGTCCCAAATCAATTGGTACTCAGTATTTTAGATGAAGTGGATGCAATCAGATTTTTTTGGATCACCTGGAACACCTTTCCACACTTGTTCTTCTCTTTAGATCCGACAGCTGGAATCCACAATCCTTTCCCTAAAGCACCAAAAGCACCAAAGCCAGTCAGGCATCGTCAAAGCCATAGAGCAGGAGAAACTGAGCCTGAAGAGGGAGTGTGAACAGCTGCAGAAGGAGCTGTCATCTGCAAACAGGAAGGTCAGTTTGGGCTGAGGAAGTGACAGAAGCTGTAACTTTGTTCTTTTCTTCAGAGTTTTGTGCTTTTTGTCTCTTTTTTTAAAAAAAAACCCTGTCCCAAAAGAGCTGACTGTGCCCTGTGCATCTGCAGGGTGGCATTCACTTGTGGCAAAGCATCACATTTGTCCAAGTACTACTTGTTTGGTTTTTTTTTTTTTTAATCTTGAATTGTCTTCATATTTAATGGTTCGTGACTTTAGTATTGGGGAGAAAAAAATTAAAAATCAGATAAAATAAGACACTGCTGCTTTTTCTAAGGACACTTCTCTTGTCTCTGATAGATCAGTCAGATGAATTCTCTTGAACGTGAACTGGAGACCAGCTCAGAAAATGAAGGGCTAAGGAAAAAGCAAGTCAAGCTGGATGATCAGTTAATGGAGGTACTTCTTAATCAGTGTTGACTCTGGGCCTTCATCCCAGTCTCACTCTGTCTGTAGATTTGCTTTAAAACAACTTCTAGATATGTAGAAACAGAGAAAACTAATTGACACTGGAAGAACTAATCTCTCCTAATATTTATCTTCATCTTCCATAGCCAAGATGTGAGTGTGACAAACGTTGTGGTTTATCATAATTCACATGAGGCTTCAGATGTCAAATCAAACAGCAGAGAACCTTGTGAGGCAGGGCAAACTCTTCCCCCTTCCCTCCTAAAATGTGTCACCTCCAATTTCCTGACTAATATTTGTGTGATGCTGCTCTTAATGGAGAAACTTGTTCTTATTTGCTGTGGGAGCGATTTGCTGAATTTAAGCCTTGTAATCTTATCCTGATTGTGATAAATTAACAATTTGTACATTTTACTGTCGTTTCCACTCATGCCTCTGAAATTTCCAGTTGAGATCCTTCCAAAGGCTGCAAATTATGCTGGATGTTAAAACTGTGTAAGCTCTGAGGAGTCCTTGGAATGGGCAGAGCTTAACAATGTTTATTGTGAACCTTCAGGTCAGCCCAGACCTCTGAGTTCTCTCAGTTGATTGTCCTGGCTTTGAGTTTAAAACATAACATTAAAAAAAAAAAAAAAAAAGAAGCCCACAATTTTGGCTCTTGCAATAAATCAGAGCATCTTCCAGATGAGGCTTTTACAACACCCTGTTAGAAGACTTTGTGCTTCTCATCAAGGCAGCAAACAGGAAACGTTACGCTGGATATCCGATGTAATTGGTTATAAAACTGTGAAAACTTAATTAGTAAATACGAGATTTTTGACAATTTAATGAAAAGGCTGTTCATTTTCCCCCCTGCTTTTATTTATAGAGCCTTAACTAAGCTTTGGGAAAATGCCAAGCACCGTTGAAACCCTTCAGTGTAAGCACCAAGCAGGGAATTGTGTTTTCTGCTAAAATGTGCCTTTCAGACACGCAGGGTTTTGTTCCCCCCCGTTAACGTTTTCCAGGCAGGTTTGGTGTAACATTTTGTGCCTTCTAACTCTCTCTTTTGTGCCTGTTCTCCTTTTGTTCGTGGCTAACCTGGCTAGAGCTCAGTGGTTGGAAGTAGCAGAGAAGGGTGCAGTTCTCTTTCTGAAATAGTGTGCGAAGGTAGAGCAATGGTTTTTGATGTACCACCATAGCATGGAGAAAACATTTCCTTTTTCTTTTCCTTTTTTTTTTTTTTTGATGGGTTTTTCTTTTTATTCCATGCATCTTTTTAAGTAAAGGAGCCACCATTCATTTCAGTGTTGATTTTTTTCACTCTGGCTGTCGGGCACCCAAGAACCTGAAAATTCCTCAGGCACTGCCTAAAAAAAAAAATGGAGAGAAATAACCCAACTGAGGTCAAAAATAATGCCAATTGAAAGTGAGAAAATGAACAGTGGCTTCCTACTAACCCATTGACTGTGAGGTTTGAAGGTGTTTGCATTACTTACTTTGGTACTTGCATGCTTTTCCACCAGCCTGTCCAATGTACCCTTAAATTAACTTGCTCTGTGATCCCCCTTGGCATCATCCCAATAGTTTAGCAAGTTCATTATTGCTTCTTTTTTTTTTTCTTCTTTTATTTTTTCTCCCCCCAGATAAACACAGCAGGACTAGATTGTTTTCATTATTTTTTCACTGCTGTTTGTCTTTAAGATGCTGTTAACACTGATTGACTGTTTCTTCATTAGATCCTCCTGTGCTTCACAGCAGGACAGGAACCCCTAAAGAAATGCCCCAAAAAAAGCTCATTATTTTCACTGTTCGTATTGTCAGGATGAGAACAGCTCCTTTCCAGACAAATTGATTCAAGAGAAACACCCTCCCCCCAAATACCTTAAAATAATACAAATAGTTTAATTTTGAAGTACCTGTAAATCTCTGTTCTGTTTGCCTGGGCCAGCAGAGATCCAGAGATGGTGACAGAAGAGCTGCACCCCTGTAAAATAAAATTATAGATGAACTCAATAATTGAAATAAGCCTCCACACTGAGGCTTAATTTTACCATGAGTGAAAGGAAATTAAAACCACTTGTGAAAGGGAAATTAAAACTACTCAGATAATCTTATTCACCTTTTCCTAAGGGAACAGAGTAACGATTTGGGGATGAGAGAGTGAGAGAGTGAGAATTTATGGGATCAGCTGGGGAAGAAATTTACTGATGTTACACAAATTCAAGCTGCAAATCAGCTTGTCTGAAACATCAGGGATTTTTACTGTGCAAGTCTGGAATTTTTTTGGTATTATAGACTAGTAAAACTGTGAGTTACTTCACCTGGGTTTTACTTTAGTCTAAAAAAAAAAATAAAAAATCTAAATTATTTCCTATGACTGACATAACTCTCAATATTTCTACAGTTAGTAGTGAACATAAGGAAAGATCCACAGGGGTTTAAATATTGAATTTTGAATTTAATGCAGCAGCTGGCATCACATAGACGGCACTGAAGATTTGTTGTGCTTTGAGAACATCCTCTCCCCATCCTAAATTAAAGACTAGAAATAACCAGCACAACTTCAGTGCTTTTGCTTGTTGGCAAAAGTTGCCGTTTTTAGAAGAGCTGCCAAGATGGAGGCTAAAATAAAAATCAAAAACTTAAAAAGGGCTGAGTTCAAGCTGGATGGGTTTCACCGGAAATCCGGTGAATTTGTGTGTAACTCAGGTGTGAAACACTGGATCAGAGCTCCCATTCCCTTAGGACTGCATGTAGCTGCCTCTTTTTCCCCTTGGAAAAAGTCATCTTAGTAGCTTCTTTTGCCCAGTTCTGTCGCCCACAAGAGCTCTGAGAGCAGCCTGACATCTTGGAGCGTCAATGGCGTCGATTTAATCTCCCTCTCCTCTCCAGATGCTCCACTCCAGCTCCAGCGGGACGCGTAGCCAGAGCCCGCACTCCTGGGAGCTCCAGCAGCCGGGCTGTGCCGTGGTGCCCAGGGAGCAGTTCCTGCAGCTCCAGCAGCAGCTGCTCCAGGCGGAGAGGAGGAGTCAGCGCCTTCAGGAGGAGCTCGAGGCTCGGCCCTCGGACACGAACGTGCAGCAGGTAAAGCAGAGCTCCCTCCACTCCATAGGTTTTCAGCTTGAAGGGTGGGTTTGGGTTGGTTTTTTTTTCTCCCCCCTGATTCTGGTGAGATCCCTTCTCCGTTTATGCCAGTTCAGAAGTGTAAATGAACGTTCGTTCCATCAGAAATGTGTGCAGTGATGTTGTTGAGCGTCTTTAGCCTGAGCCACATCTTTGTTCCGAGGTTCTCCTCAGCTTTTTGGGATCCAAAGCACTCCCATCCACACTCAACTGGCTTTTCTCCCTCTGATCCTCCTGTGTTTGTAGGGTTTTTGTTGCTTTAAAAGTCTGGAACTATTATTTTGAGCGATATCCCACGCCAGATCCATCCCGTAAAATCCCAGTTTGGGCTGGTTTTGTCACCTGGAATTCTGGCAGTTGTTGTAGAGCAGAACACAAACAAATTAATCAGTTTTTTTATAAGGTCAAATCTTCATGATTTGGCCATGAAACAATTTGTTTGGAGAAGGTTGTTAATGCTACAGAGAAACTTCAACGTTGGCATTTCTAAGGAAAACCAATTCCAAGGAACGATAATTCCATCCGCTGCCCTTAGTGGGCAGAGTCACTTTTAGTGGTGTTCTGATTTTTTTTTTTTTTAGCTTGTAAAATTCATATTTTTTTGTTGAATTATTTATTAGAATTGAATTATAGGCAATAGATAAAAAATTTGCATCTCCTATGTAACAAACTTTGGACTGAGATTGCCAAATGATCCTTTTTTTTTTTCTAAATCTTTGGCTCAGGCCATAGGTCTTAAAATAATATTATAACTTCATCTTAAAATTAATATTACAGCTTTATCTCCTTGGAAAAGATAAAGCTCTAAATAACTTAGATAAAAAACTACAGGTTTTTTTTTCCACGGGTTTTGCTAGAAAAGTTTCTAAATTTACTCCTAAAAACGTGCATTCTCCAGTTATAAACAAGGCCACAACGTTTTTTGTTTGTGTGAACTTTGCCATTTCTCTGAGCACATCCTGCTTTAATCCTCACTGGTGGCTTCTCTTCTCCATCCTGATTCCAAAGGCTTAACATTCAGCTGACTTTATTTCCATTTTAATGTCCCCTTGAGCACCTTGAAAACTCTCATCCCAACCCCTCTCCATCACCTTTCCACCAGTGAGTGCAAGGCCAGGTTACTTCCCTGCTTTCTGTGTAAATTTTTTTTGCTGCTGCTTTGCATTTTTGCATTTCTTAGATCCTGAGGTATCCAAAGTTATCCTTCTCCTTTTTTTTTTTTTCTTTTTAAATGGGATTATTTTGTGTTTATCCTGCCTTGCAGTTTTCATTGGTTTTTTGAGCGTGGTGGTCTGTGCTCCTGCTCATTTTGCAGTCACTTTCCAGCTCTTTTCCTCCAAAGGCTGCTGGTTTATGTTGAATTTTCACTGAATTAAATTAAATTATAACTCCTGAGCTGTTTCTACTGTGTTGGCCTCTTCTGAATTGCCAGTGACTGTCCCTGCTGTGTCTGGTGTTGTGATATTTTTCCCTCCCGTTCCTTGCTCAAAAACTACATTTGGGAGCCCTTTCATGAGCCAACATTTCCCAGAGTTCTCTGAGAACCAACCTGGATTTTTGTTCAGGGTACTCAGAGCTGCTCAACTTCCCCCCCTTTTTCAGGTCTTTATTTCAAATTTCAAATTTCATGGGATCACAGAATCACAGTTGAAAGGGACTCACAAGGCCCCTGAGCTTGTTCACTCTGAGGGCAAGAATTAAAATTAGGTTTAAAATAGAAAAGCAAAGTTTTTAAAGGTCAGTTGGGCTACATTTTTTCACAAATGCTGCTTGGCAACCTGTGAGATTATATATATATAATCTCATATATATATGTGTGTGTGTGTGTATATATATATTAATATTAGATAATAGTTTAGATATATATTATTATATATTATATTTTATATTTATTATAGTCAATACACTATTTAGATATATTAGATAACATTATTAATATTAGATTATATATCTTACATTATATGTGTGTGTATATATACACATATGAGATATAAGATTTTATCTATATATATGTATGTATATGTATACATGTGTATATATATAAAAATATATGGATTTTATATATAAGGAATGTATGATATCATTTTTATAGATAGAAAACTTTTTATATGGATTTTATAGGTATAAAATGCATTTTGTGTTCTATATCTCTAAAATGCAGTCTATATTTTGTATCTCTAAAATGGGGGATATATTTTATGTATAAAATGCAGGGATATAATTTTATCTATAAAATGGGGGATATCTTTTTGTCTATAAAATGGGGGATATATTTTATCTATAAAATGGGGGGATATATTTTGTATCTCTAAAATGGGGGATATATTTTATCTATAAACTGTGGGGATATATTTTTATCTATACAATGGGGGATATATTTTTATCTATAAAATGGGGGACATATTTTTATCTATATGTAAAATGTATGAGATGTATATAAGGTATGATATATATATAAGGTATATATATGGTGTGATATAGAGAGAAAAATGGAGGGTATTTTATACAGAGGGAAAAATGGGGGGTATTTTATACAGAGGGAAAAATGAGGGTATTTTATACAGGGGAAAAATGGAGGGTATTTTTTACAGGGGAAAAATGGGGGGTATTTTATACAGGAGGAAAAATGGAGGGTATTTTACACAGGGGAAAAATGGAGGGTATATTACATATATAGTGGCAGATAACTTCCTCTGAAAAACTTTGCTCCTTGCAATTAATCACTGCCATTGACCTTTTGAAAACCCTGGATGAGCCATTTCAAGAACCCTTAAATCTACAAAAACACCCCCTGAACCTCCCAGCTGTGCCTGTGCAGTGCTAACACTCATTTAGAGCAACAAAAATACCAGATATTCTGTGTTTCCTCTCCCGTGTGTGTGTTTTTGTCCGTCCTGCATCGCTTGTATTGGTGATTTTAAATTTTTTTTTTTTTTTTTTTTTTTTGCTTGAAATAGACTTATTTACTGTGCAGAAAAAAATGTGGATATCAGGGTTTTGAAGTATCCATCCCACTTCCCTTCTTTCCCTAGGCCTTGCTACCGGAGCAGCGAGCAGTGCATGCAGATTCCTACCGGAGGATCGGGCACCTCTGACAGCTTTGGCTGCTTTAGGATTCCCTTTTCCATGATATAAAAACACACACACACAAAAAACATGAACTGGCATAAGCTGAGAAACTTTGAGGATCGAATTATTTTTGTGCTTTTTTTTTTTTTGCCTTAAAAAAAAAAAAGCTATTTAAAAAAAAAAAAAAGACTCTCCGCGGTGTTATTTTTTTTTCCCTCTTATTTATTTTGTCTAGAAGCTGTTTTGTGAAAGCTCAGAAAAGCAGCTTTTTTTTTAATTTGTCACACAGATGCTCTTTATTTATGTTATTTAAAATGTGCAGTTGTGTTCAGCGAGGAAAGAGCCTATTTTTCTCAAATGCTACTAATTTTATATGAGATTTGAAGCAAATCTGGGGTATTTATACTGCATTTTTGTATAAGATGTATAAACTTTTTAACAGGGAAAGATGACTTTTTTTTTTTGGATGTAAATGAAAAATAAAACCTTTTTTTTTTAAACATGACGTCTCTTGTCTTCGTAGCATCGATAATTTCAGCTTCATGAACGAGAATTAACACATTTGAGGTGAAATATTTGTCTTTTGAGGGTGGTCATACCAGGATTTCTGGGGAGATCTGTAGTGGGGATGTTTTTAAGTGCAGATATTCAGATTTTCTTTAGCAGATGTACCTATAAATTTTAAGTAAAGAATTTCCATAGTACATGGACATATTCAGTGTGGCCTAAAGGGTAAAAGGGCAGTGCCAGAAAGGGGAAAACTATTAACACACTTGTTTCTTGGATAACACTCCAGAGTAGTCTTTATTTTGTCTCCAGTTACTTGATTAAATTAGAATGTTAATGCTTTAATAGGTCAGCAAAACACCTGTTCAAGGTCTATGATTTTCTAGTTGAGAGCCATCAACAATTTTGTGGTTGACGAGGTCTTTTTGCTCCTGTCTTTAATGACCTTAAAGCTACTGCTTGAGCTGTTTGTTTGGGTTTTTTTTTTACTCCTTATTAAACATGGAAAAATATAAGGTGAGAACGTTCTCAGATCCACTGAGAGCCCAAAAAATAGGGATCACAGGTAGTGAGAGCACTGTAATTCTTCATGCCCATGTAGCTACTCACTCGAGGCTCCTGCAGCCATTAAGAAGTGGAATAATGAGCCAGGGTTTGGAATTCCAACCCAATTACAAAGGATGACTGATGATAACTTGGCTAGAAAGCCCTTTAAGGTTGTGCTGATTTTTTAATCTAGAAAAATATCCGCTCCTGCCATGCTGTAAAACTGTTTTCTGCATGACTCTAATTTTTGCCATAAAAATGAATTATCGTATAACCCCATACACAGATTGAAAGAGTTTTGGGTGTCCCAGCAAATCAAATGTTGAGGGGGCTTCAATCAAACCCCCACAAGGGGATCTTTGGATGGTGGTTTAGATGAGGAATTACCCACCTGAAACATTCCTCCCTCAGTCTCTCCTTGATCCTCCCCCACCCACGTGATGGTTTGGAGTTTGAGGCTGTATGGTTTTTGGGGAGGTTGGTGCTTTCTCCAAGCTGATCTTCCCAGATGAGCTCCTAGAATTAGAGTCACAAACTGGCATTAAAATAAAGCCTCCATCTCCCTGCACTCGGTGTCTAAAAAGTTCCCAAGTACAAGGCAGTTTGTTTGTAATTCCTGCTGGTTCTTATTTATTTGGGAACACCTGACTCAGGTGCTGGGGTAACTCTCATGGCACTGTTACTGTGCTTTTAATTAGACTGTCACCTCACTGCAGAAAAAGAGGAAAACCAGTTCAGGGCTAATGTATGGAAACGTTATTTGTCAACAATTAATCTAAAAAGACATAAAAAATCAAGTTTGGTAGAGGAGCATCCTATTTTTTTATCATATTACTCAGCTTCAAGGAGTCTTTGGAGTGGGAGAGTTTCACTGTCAAACGTGCCCTCGTGACTTAAATCTTAGTAGTTTTAGGAAATAATAATTAAGGTTTGCTTGGCATTTGGTTTCCCACATTCAGCAGAACTTAGGCAGCACCGAAGAACAAGAAAAGTAAATTATCCAGATCTGACTCTGGTGGTTAAGACTGAATTTTGTATCAGGTTTTTCTTGGATTTGGTGATTTCAGATGTGACTTTGACTTGGAAAACAAGTGCAATGCTGCAACTGTCCCTTAAGTGTTGCCATAACCCTTTTCTTCCACGAAGGGTTTATTAATTTTATTTATTTATTTATTAATTTTGACTCCAAAACAGAAGTGTGGAGTGCCAGGTGTTTTCTTAAATATAAACTGGGGGAAAAAAAAAGTAGTCTGGTGAAGGCAAACTGACTTTTAACTGATTGTCACGTAAATGTCGCTTTCCAGGGGGGTCATGAGCAGCTCCTAAAAATGATGGAAGAGCGCATGGTGGATGTGGAACAGAAACTGAGGCTTGTAAAGAGGCTTCTCCAAGATAAAGTGAATCAGCTGAAAGAACAAGTGAGTATTCCTTGTCTTCCTCAGGTCATCCCCATTCCTTGTGGGAACAGCCGAGGGGGCAAAAGCTGCCGAGTGGTTGCTTAGAATGAAGTTTAGGGTGATTTTTGGTTTAATGCTTCTGAGCTCAAGTAGAGCAGATTTGCCCAAAAATTCCTGAAACTCCGGATTAGGAGTTTGGAGTCCACCACTCAACGATTCCCTAACTCAGGAAACAAACATCAAATTCCAGCCGAGGATCCCTAACTGGAAAGGTTTACTTAGAAAATTTTGGAGGAAAAAGAACCTGATGAAGAGTTGAGAGAGGATTATTGTACAATTATTGACTTCTTAGACACCTCCTGCTCCAAATGCACCTTGTTTGATGTGGTTTGGGGGTTTTTGGAAGTGTCTCTGTGGGATCACCGGGCTCCTGGATCCTCTTGCGACCTGGATTTACGCAGCACTTGAAGCCCTTTCTCATCTCCTTGAATAACTTTTCCAGTCTCAAAATACTCAGAATATTCAGTCTGAAGACTCCAGGTTTTCAACCAAGACGGTTGAAGAATAAGATGGTTTAAAAAATAAAACGAATGGGCTGGTTTTTCCTTTGACATCCGAGTTACATCTAACACACCCGCCTCCTATTTCTATTATAAACTTGGATCTGAACGTAATTAAAAAATTTCAATGTAATTTTTAAATTTCAGGGGTTCATTTATCCTTGGTGAGTAACCGTGTCCCCGTTCCCACCGCAGCTCTCCAAGAACACCAAAGCGGACGCGATGGTGAAGGATCTGTACGTGGAGAACGCGCAGCTCCTCAAGGCTCTGGAGGCCACGGAGCAGCGGCAGAAATCCGCCGAGAGGAAGAACTACCTGCTGGAAGAGAAGATCGCCAACCTCAACAGGATAGTGAGGAACTTGGCGTCCCCTTCCTTCAGCTCAGAGATCAGGTCGTAGCAAAGCCACCCCGGGGTGTGCCAGGCCCGAGCACTTTACTGGAACGCTGATATTTCAGCTCCTCACTGCGTTGCCTTTTCCTTATTTTTTTATTTTTTATGGGGGAATTTTGGTGAGCACAGAGCTAATTCCCAAACAAGAGTTTTGTTTCTCCCCCGAATTGTCCCTCTGCTAAAAGTAATGTTCGCTACAGGAAAAAAACAGACCTGGTTTTTTTTTTTTCTGGGTTAAATTATTTTGATGCCTTGGGTTTCACGTCAAATCTAAATTCTGAATATCCTGTACTGTTGAAGACTGACCTGTCAGTATTTCTAGGTTTTGGAGCGTGAATTATCATTCCCAGAATCCACGTGGAAGCCGAGGCCTAAAAGCAAATTTACGTCCCTGAATTCAAAGCTTTAAAATATTTTTGGGCTTCCTAAAACACTTCTGAAGTGCTGGAAGGTTGGGCTTCGACTGACCAGTCAGCTGAAATATAAATGTCAGTAGAAATGTTACTGAAGGCAAGGCTTTCCTGGGATGGTCTGTGTCCTACAAACTGATCCTGGGTTATTCTTTGTGGCTTTTTCTGTGCAGAGCTCAGAAAAAAAAAAAAAAAAAAAAACAAAACCACACGTTTATTTAAAATATATAACAAGGCTGCTGCCTCCCACTAAGTGTAATGGTATTTCATGTGAAGAAACTTCCCAGCTGGCAAATAAAGACTATTTATATTTTTGATTTTTTTTTTTTTAAAGCTGTGCTGCCAGACGACTTATGAAGCTGTAGAGGCCTTAATTTTTTTTGTGTGGGGAAATAAATTGTATTAAACACAGGAAGAGCCACTCAACGGAAGCGAAGATGGGAGTTTTGTTTGTACAATTTGTAAATTATCACATGCAATTTGTAAATGCAGTAGAGCAGTGCAGTGTGTTTGTTAAACAGCTGGCAGAAAGAGTGGAAAGGGGCACTGGGATGATTTTGTCAGGGGAATCCTGGCGCTGGAATCCTCACAGGCACGGAGCTTTGCTTTTGTTTCGACCTAAGGGATGATTTGTAGTAGATCCTAGAGCAGAATTTAAGTCTGTGATTAACTGCAGTTAACTGTGTGAAGAGACATATTCAATGTGAATACGACGAACTCAGGGAATAACAGCCTAAATTAACTTCCTTCAGCGTTGTAAATGTGGATATAAATGTCAGTAGAAGAAGATAAACACGTGTTAGGAAAAGCAGGATAAACCAAATTGTATTTAGGTATTACCTTAGTCCTCCTCAACCAAGAGAGGAGCATCAAGGCTTGGAATGAGAGGGGATCCCTCCTTTGGGATCAGCGGGAGGGGCTGGGAGAACGCAAGATTTTTGGGAACAGCTTCAAGCCAGCCCAGTAAGACACCACTGAGCACTGTAAATCAAACTGGGGCCACACTGGCAATGCTTGGAACTGGACCTCTTGAAACAGCTGGTTGAGAGCACAGAGGGAGGGGTGTTTTGTCTCAGAGGCCACCAGCAAGGTTGATAATTCAGTCACGAGCCAGAAGTCCCCCAGAAAATGGGATAACAACACTGCCTACAAGCTGTGGAGGAACCTCTGGAAAAGGAGTTTTTCTTGGTGCTGGTTAGCACGTGGCTGTAGAGGATGCTCTCTGTGGCTGTGGGGTTACTTACTAATTTTGGAGTGTTGATGGACCTTCTCCTCCTCCTCCTCCTCCTCCACTGCTGGCAACACAGTGGAAATGGAAATATAATCATGGAAGAACAAACATCATGTTGGAGCATCACACAGTCCCTATAAATTACTTCACTGCTGTGCTTTCCTTAATGTCTGGAGTGGGGATTTCTCCAGGTCACCTGAAAAACAAGGATTTACGGGTTTTTCAGAGTCCGCAAAATTATCTCCCCGAATTGGAAACGCGGCAAATCGATCTGAAATTAGCAAAGCTCCCAAATATTCCCAGGAAACAAAGGAAATGAGGTTCAGAACTGTATTTGGGAATTAGCTAGCACTAATTTAGTACTAATTATTTTAACCCTGCTTCATACCTTGGCCTTGGTTTACTTCTCTCTGTGACCAGGGTGTGAAGAGAGAGAATATTTCACTGAAGTTGTGCTGCAACTCATTTCACATGACTCAACTTTAAAGGCTCCACTGCTTAACTAATTCTTTTAGTCTCCTGGGAGTTCTTACCAGGCTTTTACAAACCAAACACGCAGGCATTGCAAGAGCACAGCACCAAAAGGGGAGCCCAGGTGCTGGAAGGGAAGGGAGAAACAGAGAAAAGGGGCTTTTTGGCTTCTCCCTTTCCCCCCTGTCCTACCTTACTCTGCTTTTATTTCATTTAGATGCAATAAAAACCCAAAACCAACCTAAGCAGAGGAGAGAGGAGGAGGAGGAGGAAAACGTCCTAGTGGTAAATATTTTTGAGGCAAAACTCCACTTCCGCTGGTGCATGTGTGTGAATTAACCCTCAGAAGTGCCTTTTGCCATTCCACGTTTTTAGAGCCTTTCTCTGCTGTGCTGGGCTTGTTGCTCCAGGCCAATTCAGGGCAATCCCTTCCCAGAGGAGGGATCCCAGAGAAAGGCAGCGCTGCTTACGGGTGTCGCGTTGCTTCTTGGTCCGTGGCGTCAGCTCAGGAGAGAGGCAGCTCCTCTCTTTACAAAAGTCCAGGCTGCTGAAAATAACCACATAGCCGTGTAAATTATTAAAGCATCGCTGGTGTTCCGTGCATGAATGTGTCTCCTATGCAGCATAGGCAAAAAAACCAAAGTATTTAATGTTGTAGCAGTCAAAAGGCACTGAATTTTGTCGGCCTCGTTAGTACAGCGGGTCTTGCCGTGTCACATCTGAACGACTTTATTACCTGGAGGTGTTTTGTTTTCGACTGTTGCTTTATGAACCACTGTGAAAATAAAGGCACGTGGACATTTCAGGTTGGGGGGGGTTTGGAAGGGCACAGTCCCCAGTTACATTTATATGTGCTAAATTCCCACAGTTGAAGCGCTGCTTGTCAGTTTAGAATGATTTAAAAAGTCTACTTTGTGGCATATTCTCCAAGGAGTACTTAAATACAAAGAAAATTGAAATATTTGAATTCTGGTTGGGGGGAAAAAAAAAAAAGGGTTGTAACATATTTGATTTTAATTTTAGCCAGATTATGTGTTAGGTAGAGCAGGGGACAGTCTATCAAATAAAACCCTTTTGTTTACTTATGCCATCCCTGTCTCTCAGGTTTTCCATCATTTACCTGTTCAGTCTCCTGTTTGGTGTCATTTCATGATGAATGACTTCTGTACAAATGAAAAAAAAATGTATATATATTTTTTTCTATCGAGTTTGTTTTGTTCTGGTGTAATATATTGTCCTTAGAACATGGTGTAAAGCTGAGAGATGAACCAACTTACACATTATTTATAACGGATGCAAAAAAAATACATTAATGTATGATCCATGCTTGTGTCTTTTGTTCTTTATCCAACGTGAAAATCATAGAATCATGGAATAATTTGGATTGGAAGGGACCTCTAAAGGCCATCTAGTCCCAAACCCCTGCCATGGGCAGGGACACCTTCTGCTAGACCAGGTTGCTCCAAACCCTGTCCATCCTGGCCTTGAACACTTCCAGGGATGGGGCATCTACTGCTTCTCTTCCCATGGAATTTGCAGGTATTTCAAGCAATATCTGCAATATTTATCAGACAGAGCTTTCATAGTAACAGAATCCCAGGATGGGTCAGGTTGGAAGGCACCACAGTGGATCATCTGGTCCCACCTCCCTGCTCCCGCAGGGTCATCCCAGAGCACGTGGCACAGGATCGTGTCCGGATGGCTCTGGAATATCCCCAGTGAGGAGATTCCACACCCTCTCTGGGCAGCCTGTTCAGTGCTCGGTCACTGCATAGTAAAGTTCTTCCTCGTGTCCAGGTGGAACGTCCTGGGCATCACTTTCTGCCCAGTGCCTCTTGTCTTAGAGAAGGACAAGCTAATCCAATGGAACCTGGCCTGGATCAGGAATAGTGTGGCCAGCAGGACCAGGGCAGGGATTGTCCCCCTGTGCTGGGCACTGGTGAGGCCACACCTCGAGTGCTGTGTCCAGTTCTGGGCCCCTCAATTAAAGAAGGACATTGAGGGGCTGGAGCGTGTGCAGGGCAGGGAACGGAGCTGAGGAAGGGGCTGGAGCAGCAGGAGCGGCTGAGGGAGCTGGGGGGGCTCAGCCTGGAGAAAAGGAGGCTCAGGGGGGACCTTCTGGCTCTGCAATCCCTGACAGGAGGGGGGAACCGGGGGGGGTCGGGCTCTGCTCCCAGGGAACAGGGACAGGAGGAGAGGGAACGGCCTCAAGTTACACCAGGGGAGGTTCAGGTTGAACATCAGGATGAATTTGTTTACAGAAAGGGCGGTCAGGCCCTGGCAGGGGCTGCCCAGGGAGGTTTGGAGTGCCCAGTCCTGGAGGTGCCCAAGGCAGGCCCGGCCGTGGCACTCAGTGCTCTGGGCTGGGACACAAGGTGGGCATCGGGCACTCGATGATCTCCTTTTTCAACCTCGGCGATTCTGTGGCTCGGTGATTCCGTGCCACTGTGATTCCGAGCTTACGGAACTCTCGGGGATTCCAGGATTCCCGGGGGATTTCCTCGGATTCCCCGCTCCCGGTGCGGGGCCGCGCCCTCCCGGCCGCGCGGGGTCGCTGTGGCGGCGCCCCCTCCCCTGCGCTGCCCGCGGCCGGCCCGGAGGGGCGGTGGCCGCCGCCTTCCCACAACGCCCCGCGCGGCCGCCGCGTCCCCTCAGCGCCCCCCGGCCCGGTCCCCGATCCCCCATCCCGATCCCGGCCCCGTCCCGATCCCCCGGGGGCGGCCGGACCCCCCCATCCCCGCCCTGCGGAGCGGGGAGCGGCGCCGGGCATGCGGGCGGTGGCGGCGGGCCGGGAGGTGGGATGCTGTCGCGGAAGAAGACGCGGACGGAGCTCTCCAAGCCGGGCGAGGTGCAGGGGAAGTACGTGAAGAAGGAGACGAGCCCGCTCCTGAGGAGTGAGTGTCGGGGGGGACACCGGGGGGGACGAGCCCGAGGCCTTTGTGCTCGGCCGGAGCGGGGCCCGGAGCGGCGCGGCCCGCGGGGGATCCCAGTGGAGGAGGGGGGGTCGTCCCTGTGCGTGTATGAGGGCGTGTTTCTCTCTTCTCTCTCCCTCCGTATGTGTGTGTTTAATTCCTTTGTGAGCCCTGGGAGGTGACGGAGGGAAGATAAAGGCAAGCCCCACTTTCAAAGCGGGGTGCTCGTCGTACCCGGCCTTGGTGGGGTTTGCGGTTTCCTCAGTTCTCGGCTCCGCGGTTTCAGCGGGTCGGGGTTCACGGAGTCTACACACTTCTTTTGGGGTTTTGGGGTTTTTTGTTTTGCATAAATTAAGAGATCACAAGGCCAGGTTGGACGGGCTCGGAGCAACCTGGGCTAGTGGAAGGTGTCCCTGCCCGTGGCAGGGGGTGGAACACGATGGATGGTCTTTGATGTCCTTTCCAGCCCATTCCGTGATTCCGTGACCTCTCTCTTCCCGGAATGGAGCGGTGCTTTTCCCGGTGTGCTTTGGGAACGAGATAACTGTCCTGCCAGGCAGTTGCATAAAATCCCTGCGGAAGCACAAGCTCCAGGTGCTATCCATGACTCATCCCGGTGAGGTCACCTGGAATGCACGGAGCTTCCCGCGGCTCACCTGGCTCTGATGCCACAGCCCCGTTTTCCTGGGACTGGACAGAACACCGGCAAATACCCACTGAGAACACTCTGAGTTTACTTTTTTCAGTCGGTTTTCAAAGACAGCCCGAGACTGAAATGTGTTTATTTACCCTGTAATTGCGGGATTAGGGTGGGAGTTCCCAGCTAGCAAGAACTGATTTGCTGGCAGGAGCAGGCACTCAGCTCTTCTCAAAGTGTTTGCTGCACGAGTTCCTCAATCAATAGGCAAAATAATTCAGTAGTTTGATTGCTTTGGCTTAGTCCTTAGACACAAAAACCCACTAATTTTTGTTCTGTTAAGCTGTGGGTGCGCCTGAGGTGTTCATAAATTTACACGTTTATGCTCTTACGTGCTGTGGAGGGATCATGGTAGATTTACTGCTGACACCACCTGGGTTTTTAGCCTAAGACTCACATTTTACCTGTAAGAGTTTATTAACACAAAGTAATTAATAATAGGCATAACCACATTCTGAATGAAAGCTGTCATTTGTGTTGACTTAGCTGGAGGGAAAACTACTTAATTTATATCATGTTGAAAGTAAAAGCAGGGAGAGGAGGAACGTTTCCCTTGCTGGAGGGAGGCAGTGAAATTGTAAGGGAGAAAGTGAAATATCTCTGTGATAATTTGAGGATTCAGCGTGTGCAGAGTGACAGCATTTTTGTGGCTGAGCTTGGTGACTTTGGGGTGAGTGGGCACGGTGTGGATTGTGTTCCTGTTTGCATCCTGGATCCCTGTGAGCCTGCGGGCATTAACATCTCGTCGTTCCCAGTTTGTAAGCACAGTGTTCCCAGTGAAGTAGAAGCCAGGATACTGGGATTTTCTTGACCCTTCTAATAGACCGATGCAGCCACAGCACAGAGTGGGTGGTTTGGGGTTTGTCTGTGTGCTTTTTGATGTGTTTGGGGTTGGTTTGAAGTGGCAGAACTCAACCATCCGGGCACTGGTGGAGGCTGTGCTGGTTCCTGGCGCAGCAGGACACCCTGCAGCATTCCCGCTCTGTCTGCACGTGCAGCAGGTGGGTTTTGCACGGGAATTCCCTCAGTTTTAGGGGTGGTGCTCGGAGGCTCGATGTGGGAGTGCAGGCAGAGTTCTGACCTCTCTTCCCCGCTCTTTGCCAGACCTGATGCCTTCCTTTATCCGTCACGGTCCCACCATTCCGAGGCGAACTGACATCTGCCCTCCTGACCCCACGGCCTCCGCCTACGCCCCCGGAGGAGATGGAATCGTTTCCAGGAACCAGAGCTTCCTCCGAACACCCGTGCAGAGGCCGCCTCACGAAATAATGAGGCGGGAGAGCAACAGACTGTCGGCACCCTCCTATCTGGCCAGGAGTCTGGCCGATGTCCCGAGGGAGTACGGCTCTTCCTCGCAGTCCTTCCTGGCAGAATCCAGCGCCGGGCTGGAGAACGGGGACCCCGGGGCGCGCTGTTATTACTATGATCACTTCTACGAGGCCCAGAGGAGGCGGCAGCTGAGCGAGAGAGCCCACGAGGACTACAGGTATTACAGCGAGCACAACGGGGAGCTCTTCCAGAGGATGGCCCACAATCATGGCAGGCACACGTCAGGTAAGGGCTTCTCGGGCTCCTGCTAAGAGCTGAGGTGCAGCTGGAGGATGTTTCTGGGGAGAGTTGGGCTGTGTAGGACAGAGCTGCTTTTCCACGTTGAGAATTTTTGATCACGGACATCCAGAAAGGGAAAGTGCTCTTTGGCACGCTCTTTGTTTATTAAATAAACGGGATAAATTTAAGCAAATTGGGGTTTGCTAAAGGACAAGCATATATGCAGCTCACCTGCACGAAGTTGCATCAGTTCCTGGCTAAGAAAATATTTTCTTTTTATTATTTGCTGTTGCACATCACGACACAGAGAATAACCAACAGCTCGAGATTGTAGCATTGCAGCATCATTGTTGTCGTTACTGTCATTATATTTTAACTCTCATTGTCTTATTATTTAATGTCATTGTTTTAATTTGACCCCAGTAATTAAAATGATTGCTTATGAATAGTCCAAGGGAGGAATGACTGCTTTGTGTAATTAGCAAATTGGCATCTCCTTTCTTTTAGCTCCTTTCTTTTAGCTTTTAATATTGTTTGCATATATATCTGTTTCCCCCTCAGTTTTTCAGTGGAGCTTGTCTTTGTTTTCCAAAGAACAGCATAAGAAAGAGGAAGCCATTTAACACTAAACATTTTCTGAAATGTTTGATTCTGTATTTGATGCTACAAAAACTACGCCCAAGGAGGAGTTTGAAAGGAACATTTCAAACCTGTAAATAACGTGCCCTCAACATGAAATACACTGTCACTTGTAATCTGCAAACAAAGCAGTAATTAGTCTCTAATAAAATAAATCTCCTGTCTAGAAAAATAACCCTGGCAGGAGGAACATCCAGCATTTAATGCTGCCGAGCTCCTGTGTGGAATTAGAACCTGGCAGGGCCTTGTGCTTCCTTTCCCACAGAAACATTTCCATGAGAAGTGACAGAAGGGGGATGTGGGAGCTGTCAGGCAGGAAATTCAGAAATTCTGAGCTTTAGGTCTTGCTGCTTTAATCCTCCTTTATTTTGCTAAATGCATCTGATTTTACCTCCATCCCTGCTGGTTGTTGCTCATCCAACAGTCACTGAACACTCCCCTGGTGCAGGTAAAGAGCATCTGGGAGGGTTGTGCTGGGATATTTTTGGGAAGAGAGGCAGGAGGGGAGGATTTCACAAACCAACCAAT